GCTGAAATCCTGAAAAGCACAGACGACGCATGTTCTGAAGTCACTTGCATAATAAAATGCATAGACATGCACAAACATAGATGGGAATATTTGGAATTAGAAGTAGGTCACCCTACATTGAATACACGTATATATAACATATGCTTGGCTTCCTGTCCAACAACTGTCACAGATCACAACCCCTAACATCACAGAGGACAAAACTGGTGGTGTTTCATCTTGATGCATCAAGCACAGTGAGGCTGCTGCTCCATGGACAGCAAAACTACTCAGGGAGCTGGAACGGGCATCATAAGCGTTTCTCTAGATAAACGTCCCTGTTAGTCCCGTGGGGCTGTAGACTTTGCTAAGTTCACTTTGCTCTTTATAGGAAAGATGTATATTTCCATTTTTCTTCCACTGTCTAGGCAGTGTGAACGGGAATTAATCATCATTAATCAGCAGACCTGCAGCCTATCCCCAGTTCTGCTATTAAATGACAGTAAAATAATAAGCAATTATTAAGCAATAAGCAATAATATAGTCTCAATGAGACTCAAAGTGGGGAAAAAATAAGACTACCTGAGTACCTGAGCAGATATCCCAAATTTGGGGTCTTCAAGGTTGTTTCACTTAAGACTGACAAAAAGTTGGAGAAATCCAGTATTCCATTAATAGCAATTTCTTTATTTACAGCAAATGTACATGGGGCAGAAGAGGAAAGGATATTGGAAAAGGTGAGACAAAAATAAATAAATAAATAAATAAATTCTTCTTCCAAAAGAATTATGATCTCTTTGGTTAATCAGTCTACACAGTTTATATATATATAATCAAGAGACGAATATTAACTAGCTAGCCTGTGAAGTTTCTGAGAAACTTTGACCAACTACCCACAGATGTGTGTGGGTAGTGATGTGACGTTATTCCTGGAAGGTCTATTTGTAATGTCCACATTCTAGAAGTGGTATCACACATCCTCAGGCAATCAAGCTCTGCCTTATCTGGCATCTTTGCAACAGTTTTGACTTGTACAGGGATTACAGGAACCAGAGTGTTTTGCAGAACAGTCTAATTTGGGGAATTACATTGAGTAATAGAGTGGTCTGATACTGCCTTAAAAATAAGCAAAATAACTAAAGTACTGATTTGCATTTAAGTAACTGCATACTTTTGTGTTTAGATATTTTCACCAAGGACAACGTCCAACTTTGTAGGAATTACTTAAAATGCACGTACATACACAATTCCACTGAACATTTGAAGATCCTACAGCTTCCATTCACTAGGCATCACGTAGCATTACATTTTTTGAGTATGCTTCAGAATATTCCTGTTAAGTATTTTCTCCACAGTATACCTGCAAAACCCAGGCAGGGAGACCTTCACAAACTTGTCTTTGATGACACAGAAAGTGACTCTTGGATTCACACACACACAAGACTGAAAACTTGTCTTCTAGCTCCATACTCCAAAAGCCTTTCTACTTTTCTTTTTCAAAGATGAGAATTTAAGCAATAAACAATACTTTGGTATAAAACCACTTAAATCTTGACCAAGTGTTTTGTAAAATTCTTCAACACAGGCAAACATACTGTTTCCAGTAGGAAGACTTCAGAATCTATTTCTGTTATGGCCATGAAATAAAGACTGAAATATGAAAAAGTCTTTCTCTTTAAAGAAGCAATAAGATTTGCAAAGACTACAAGCTTCCTCTTCTGCACAGAAAGCTAAAAAAGGCAGAGCAGCTGCTCAAGATCAGTGAGTTTAAATCAGTGTCTTCCTCCATGAAGAACAGATGAAGTCCTTGTAACAAAATTAGGGGGAACTTGAATTCTGCATGACTGTGGCCTTCCCAGTAAATATCCAGCCACCATCCCCTTAGCATCACAGTATTTCTAATCACTCCTACACCAGCGTCTTTGTTCCTTCATACCGTATTAAAGTACTGAATGCCCTTGAATTTCATTCGGGCATGTTGTGAGGGAAATCTTCCTTGTGTCAAAACATCAGGTGGACTCTTCACTTACCCACCTTAATTCCCGTAATCCAGATTGCTTTATCTGGTAATTACCAGGGTGCAGTCTTTATTTTAACCTCAGTGAAGGAAGGCATTTTTATCAGTATGTCCACAGCTGCTAGGCAGGCATGATTAGTTTCACAGCTTTCAAACCTTTCCACATCATTTAAATGCACTATACAATGGCACTTTTCAAAACGATGGGCTTCAGCCAGCTAAATCCATTGGAGGAAGCAGGCGCAATTCAGTCCTCTCAGCCTAAATGTACTCCTCCTTTCACACTCCTTCTTAATCATTCCTGTGGATACCTCTTGGAACTATGTAATGAATGCATGTCAAAGCAAATCTACCACGCTCCAAACTTTAAATGAGAGGAATCAACTGAGATTTAGCTGGAAAAAAATTATAAATGAAAAAGAAACATGGTGAAGAAACATAGCCACAGAAGTCACAATGAAAGACTTTTTACCTTTGTACAACATTTAGCTTAGGGCTGCAGCTCAGCAGAGACTTCAGGATATTTACCTTAACTTTCCCCTTCAGCTGACAAGCAGTTCTTTCAGCCTCACACTCCCAGTTAAGCCTTAAACCATCTTTCCTCTTCAAAACAAGAATACCGCTATCAAAAGTGGTACTTCAAATAAGCATTATCAATTTTTTTTCCACTTAAAGCAGTGTGGCAATGTTTAAGTAAGCTTTTGCCAAGCTATTTCTAATAACCAATACCTAAATGTCACATTTCTGTTATATAATATGTTGGCACATTTTTCCCTTCACAGACTTCAGTAAGTTAAAATGTCTTTCTAGGTTCTTACATTGCAGACAGACTTTACCTAAATACCCCCTAAGATGCATTTACACAGAACAAGGTCAAACCAGGAACCTGCTTTATGAGATTGTAAATCTTCTGGCCCCTGCAGCTCTATACCAGCCTCCTCTAACTTTCCTTGGGGTCCTAGACCACGGTGGAGCCCACCTCACATGAAGGGGATGCTAGACGCAGAAATCTGCAACGCCTTTGAGGTCCAGCCACCAGAGCGGAAAATATGAGCTTCCTATATTTGAGTTGTCTCTATTTCAGAATGTCATTACTGGAATTCTTTAAGACTTTTCTTTTTTTTTTTTTTTTTTTAACTTTAAAAGTCCTTCTCATCTTGGCATTGCTATTTATGTGTGCGCATAAAATAGTTTCCCTAAAGCTTTTAGTTCTGTCATACCAGCATTTCCACTAAGAAGGCCACCAGTACCGAATGCTTACGGCTTTTAGCCACACAAAACACCATTGCGGCTTCTTGCCTCTACTAAAATCACGTGTTATATCTTTACTTCCAATTCTGCAAGTCCTGTTAAAGAGAATTATCAGTTAAAGTGTATATCGTCCGATTTATAAATAAATCCTGTGCTAGAAGTCTGGCTTAAGCTGACAAAATCCACAAAATATGACACAAAAATTCACAAAATATTAAACAAATTCAGTATCCAGTGGCAGCCCTGCAAAGCCAGAATAACAGCACTGAACCAAATGGAGCCACCACGGCGTAAAGTCAGGGCTGGGAGCAGAACTTGGCCACCTGGTGTTTACTCACTTCACTAAACCTAAAGCCCTGGTCAAACAATGAATAACTATATAATCTGTGAGGAGAAATGCCTGGAAACCCCGGGCGCGGAGGTGAAATGAGGATAAATGTTTCGCTCCCGTGCTGGACTTTCTGGATTTTGTTAGTCTAAGGCAGACCATCGATGCTACTTAAATATTTTACATGTGAATATTCTCAGTGTGAAATTCCGCTTATTTTAAAATAAGGCACAATTCCTAGAGAGGAATCTCCACAGAGGAGGAATTTTGAAGCCGCTGGGCTGTCACATGCAGATGTACACACGTTTATAAGAGGTAGGATTTCCTTCTCTAGACGGTCAATAGAGTTGTTACAGCTCCGGACTGTAAATCCTTAGAACTTTAAATATTTATTGATGAGCCCAGTTCACGTATTCGGCGATAAATCCGACGAACAGCGGGGAGGTTTCTCCCAGCAGCAGCCTCCCCCTGCCCTGGCAGCTTGCGCACCTCAGGCGTGGCGAAGCACGCCCCACGCCCGCGGATGTGCCACGGGCTCTTAACACCCCGTCAAAACCGCGACAACCCCGCGTTTAAACACAAGCTCCCGGGGCCGGGCCGGGACCGTCCCTGAGGAGAAACGGCCCTGAGGGGACCGTGCCGGGGCCCTACCTTCACCCGGGGACTGGGGGGTGCTGAGCCCGGCGGCGGCTCCGTCCTGCTCGGCGCCTCCCCTCGCCTCGCTTCGCCCTGCGCGCCCTCCCCGCGGGCGGGGAGCGGCGGAACCGGGGCGGGGGGAGCCCCCAGGGCCGGGCCGGGCCGGGCTGGGCCGTTCGGGGCGGCTGTGACAGCAGCGGCCGCCCGGAGCCCCCCGCTGCGGCCGCCCCGGGGCTGCGGGTCCCGTGTAATGAGGGGAGCGTGTGGGGATGGCGCGCTGCCGACTGCGTGCCTGGGGCTTCTGTAATTGCGTGTTATCAATAATTTTTATTGTATTTGTTTTATTAATTTATTTATTTATTGTTTTGTTTTTATTTTATTTTGTTTTACTGAAGCGCCACCAGATTTGACTGCACACCCTTAAAAACTTTTGAGCGTGGGAAGTGCGCTTATGTCCTCGCAATGAGGGGGGGGGGGGGGGGGGTCGAGGCTCTCGCTCCCCACCCAGCCCCGTTTTTTTTGGGGCGAAGCGCACGAACGTCCCGTGGTTTTTAATTACCGAGCCCACCGCAAGGCAAGCAGCTGTAACGAGTTCTTATTTATTTATTTATTTATTTTATTTATTTATTTTTATTAACCCCCTTCCTCCCCACAAGCCGCTGCCGCCTCCCTCTCCCCCTCCAACGGCCGCCCTGAGGCGATTAACGCCCCCCCTTCCCCTCCCCTCCCTCCCTCCCTCCCTCAGCGTCCCGTCCCCTCAGCCGCCCGCCCGCCCGCCGCGCGCGCCCTGACGTCACCGTCGGCGGCGCGGGCGCTGATTGGCCGCCGCCTTCCCGCTTCCTCCTGGCCGGCCGAGAGCCCGCCATTTTGAAAAGCTCGCCGCCGCCGCCGCCTCCCCGCCGGCCCCCGGCACCGGCACCGGCCCCGGGGCTGCAGCCGGAGCTGAGGTGGGTCCGCGCCGCCGCCCCCGCCGGGGGAGGCCCCTCCGGTGCTGAGGGAGCAGCACCGAGGCTCCCGTCCCGCTGCGGGGCCGCCCCGCCGCCGGGCCGCGCTGCGCTGCACTGCCCGCCTCAGGGCTCCTCAGGCGCTCCCTGTGCCGCCGCCGCGCCTCACGCTGAGGGGGCACGAAGCGTGCGGCTTCCCTCAGCGCCCCCTGCCTGCGTGGGGAGGGGAGGGGAGGGCAGCCGGTGCCGGGTGTTGGCAGAGCACCGCCCCGAGTACCCCCAAATTGAGCTCTCGCCCCCCAGAGAGATGCCTTTTCTCGGGGTGGGTTAACGCAGGGGGCTAGGCTTTGCGTTGTCCTCTCGCTAATAAAGCTCGTGGTCTTGCTGCCACCTGCGAACCTCCACCCGTCTGTTTGTTTTAGTTGTTGTGCCTTGAGTTTGACCTCTTGCAGGTAATCTGGCTTTAATTTCGGAGAAAAAAAAAAAAAGATTATATTTTCCCTCAAGACCTCAAACGAGTGATGCATTGTGTTCCAGAAGCGTGAACAGTGAATGAATTTGAAAGTTAGAGTCCTTATAAACAGAAGAGGTAGGGGTGTCGTCCTTTGTTAGGTAGGCGTTCTCCGTCACGAGGGAAATGGCACTCACTAGACTGAGATATTTAACTTAAAACTTAAGCCACTTGAAGTGCTAGAAAAAGACTCCTGAATATGTTAAATGTGACACATTAATTAGTTTCTGTTGTGGACTTGCATGTTAAAACCAAAAAGCATCTCTGAGCCCAAAGTTGTCTCATAGCTATTTGAATTCTGAAAGCAGCATTTACTTTGCCAAATTGCTCGTAACTTTTTTTTTTCACTTTTCCAGTTTCTCATTTACCCAACTTGCTGAATTTATCAGGGGAGTTGTATGCGTAGTTAACTATGAACAGAAATAACTGATAACACGGTGCACTAAAGTTGTGACGTCTTAAAATTTTACTGTTCTTTCTAGTACAGCGCCACTTGCTTTGAGTGGGTGTTTCTGAAAATTTCACCAAGCACGCTTGCAGATGTGTGTGTGGAAAGGGCTGATAAACTTTTAAACTTCTTAACCAGGCTAGTTGCAGGATGAATGACAATTTCTGAAACTTATCCCATTGTGTATCTGCAGAATGGTCTAGTTTGTGTCTTAAAGTATGTAACCAGTCTGTTGAAACATTGTGACATTAATTGTACTATGCTTTAAAAAAAAAAAAAATGCTTTTTTTATGGTTTTCCTGTTTGTTTTTTTACAGAAACATACACCATGTCTTCTGTTGCTTCATCCAAAGAAGATACAATGTCGTCTGAGAAAGCAGATGAGAAACAACCTGAAGCTGAAAACAAAGCTGAGGAAAGTGATGAAGATGAAGAGGAGGAAGAAGAGGAGGAAGAAGAAAAGGGTACTTGTTTTTTCTACTGACTAATTTGTGTTTTAAAAATGCTGAGCTTATTGAATGCAGTTGTCTGTGTTCTCAGCTAATGTTACAAGAAATATTAAAAGATTCTACAGTGCATCTTTCTCTCAGATCATAAATAATTTCCCAGTAGACTAAAACAGACAAACCTGGAAGCAGCAACACTGATGTTCCTCAAGCAAGAATGAAGGAATTGCTGGCATCTTGGATTCACACACTAGTGTGTTTTTTTTGTTGCTGGAAAAACTTGTAGGTGATTATAAGGTGCAGCATCCTGTATCAAATTATTCACGCAAAAAAAATACATATCCAAGAAAGAATCCTTTTTCTGCCAGTAACACTTTTGGAATAATACAGATATTTTGCCTAACTACTACAGTACTTTGCCTAACTGCTGTGAATTATTTTATTTGGTACCAAAGCTTAGTTATAGTGGTGGGAGAATTCTGTGCAACTAATTTTACCAGTAAAAATTGTGGTATCAGAGTGACAAGGTGGGATTTGTGTTGCAGCATGTAATTGCGGAGGGTAGTCAAGGAATGCCAGCTGTGATGGAGGAACTACCATGCAATAACGTTGGTGTGAAATCCCTAGGCAACTATTTTGCAAATGAAAGCATCCGTGTAAGCAGAGCTGCAGCACTGCATAGTGAAAAGCAAGTCACTGATGGCCTTAGGTTCCTAAAGGAGCTGAGCTTTGTCTTCTGGAGAGGTAGCAGAAAAATTGTGCTGTTTGGGGAACAACAGAGTAATTGGAATTAAGTTTTTACAAACAGCTCTTTCTTGTATATGCAAAAGTATGCTCTGCTATGTTGTCAGCAGGCAACTGTCCAGTTTTGATTATGTACATACACATTATGAAGCTGCTTCTTGTTACGAAGACTAGAACAGCACTATCTGCTAAAAATAGTGTGACAGGTGCTTTGAGGTCAAGTGTTTTAATATGAAATGTTTAGGTGTGTGAAGCCTTGGGGCTTTTGTCCTGGTATGCAATGTATAGATAAAACAATCTAAACGTATTCATAGAATCATAGAACAGTTTGGGTTGAAAAGGGCCTTAAAGATCATCTAGTTCCAACACCCCTGCAGTAGGAAGGGACACTTTCCAATAGAAGGACTGATCAGTACCAGAATCATTGTGAATAATATCCTTGTAGTAGTGGTGACATTAGTTTTGTGCTCTGTACAGTGTTAGCACAGCTGTGTGGGGATTAGTACAGTGCCAGTGTCCTTGTGGGAAGGCCATGTTTTTGCTGCTGATATGATACTACTGTGTAGGTCCCCGTGCAGCAAGTGGGAAGAGGCTGCAGGCAAGTGGGATTCCCCTTTTGCCCATCTGGTAGCATTGTTCTCCCACAAAGAGTGGTACCATGCCTGTGGGGGCCAGGGGTGGTACAAGGGGACTGCAAAAAAAATAACAGCTCTATACCTTAGAAAGGTGATTAAAGGCTGGGATTCTGAAAATGCATGGTGTTGTCATCTCTATCATAAGGTGTAGTTCTCTTTAGGAAATGTCTTCTCAGTGAGGTTAGGTTGGATGTAGGGTTGTAGTTAAGAACTAGAGACTGATATATGGATCTACAAAACCCCCTTGACCTTTTAGCCAAAGGTTTTAAAGTGTAATAGTACTTGGTTATATCACTATCTTTTTTTGAGGGTTTGCCATTGCAATGATTCAGAGTTGTATTGCCTATCACTACGGTGGAATCTGGTCATGTCATGAAAAACACTGTTTAAGGAAACCGTATTTTGCAGAAAAGAGCCTTATTGTTGAAGGAAAAAGGGAGAAGAAGAAGGTAGACCGGTTGACCATGCAAGTGTCCTCATTACAAAAAGAACCTTTTACAATTACACCAGGTAAGTTTGACCTCTCACATAAGAATTGTGAGTATTGGGAATTATGACGGAACCTCTCAAATGATAAAACTGTTAATTTGTTGTAGATGTAGATCTGTTGTAGACCTAACAATCATGATATGTTTTAAAATAGTAAGCCATTATAGTTATATGAAAGCTACCTTTTATTCTCTAATATCCTCTTAAACCATGGGAGTTGCATAATATTTAAACGTAACCTTGAATGGGTTCTTCAGTATCTAGCCATCACTAAAAACTATAGGAGCATCTAGAATAAAAAGAAATGCCAAGTCTGTGAACCCTGGTGTAGGTAGTATCAAATAGGAAAGAGAAAATATCACTATTGTGGTGCCTATTTGATAGGAAAAGCCCTCTCTAATGTTTGACCTATTATGTCTGATGATGTGCTGAAATAACTTCATTTAAAAAAAATAATCATAGCTGTTTGAAGTTGTAAATACATAAATAAGTATAAATGTGATGAATCACAACTGATTTTTAACTGTTTCAGGAAAAGGACAAAAACTTTGCGAAATTGAAAGGATACAATTCTTTTTGAGTAAAAAGAAGACAGATGAACTTCGGAACCTGCACAAACTCCTCTACAACAGGCCAGGCACTGTAAGAACTTGATATCAATCTTGTATATTTATTAGTTCTCATGCATTGTGAAAAGGTTTGTAGTATAGTTTTTTGCGTTTGCACACGTGGATCTGCTTCTTAAGTGTCATTACTTACAAACTACTTAGAAAACAAATGTTACAGGAATAGTTAATCAAGCCCACAATTTCTCTAACTTCTGTGAACTGCTCTCTAAAAATCCCGTGAAAAGATATACTGAATTGTAAGCCTGTTTGAACAGAGATTTATTTTTTCCCCCTCTTTGGGTGCAGGGGAGTGGTTTCTTTACTAGGATGAGTTGGAAATAATTTGAGTCACCTAGTAAAACTGCTGATCTGCAAATCATAGTGAAAGTATTCCATGTATAGTTACTTTGTTCAACATAGCTTTCTCTTAGTACTACAGTTTCTTTTGTTTGATACTTGTTAGTGGTTTCTACTACATTGTTACCTACCTTGTCATTTTCACCTTTAATATGCACAAAGCAAGAGAAAGTAAAACCACATTAATATGTAAAGACTTTGTAGTCATTTTTTCATTTACCTAAAATAAGATCCAACAAAAATATTAGTTAAAAATTGATATGCTTGCATATATATCTTAAAATTGAGACCTAAACAAATCATAACAGCAAATCTTTCTTGGAGCCTTTTAAGTACCATTGATCTTGCCTTAAATTTCAGAGTAAGTGTGACCCATTTTCTTTCTTAAAAGGAATGAAATGGACGTAGGGAAATTAAGGCAGATTAAACTTTACCATTTCAATACGCTTACTGTATTTAGAGGAATTTATTTTTAAGCTGCTCTTATCTTTTGGCAACTTAAATAGCTAGCACAGAAATCAAGAACTGAGTAGTACAAGTGCATGCTAGTTATAGTGTCTTGGACCACTGCTGCAAATGCAATGCTTGTTTAAATGGCAAAGCAAAGATCCGTTATCTGAAGTATTCAGAAAAAAGTACAATATATATTCATTAAAAGCTATTCCTGTGAATTATGGTATTTATTCAGTGTGGCAATAAACAAAATGAGAACTTCTAGCTCAGTGCATGCAGAGGTTTGCAAACATTTGGATTGTTCTGCAGTGGAATTTAATTTTGGTTTGAAAGGTGGAATGACAGAACCAGGTAACTTCCTGATTTAACTAGCTTTATAGTGGAAGGTTTGAAACTGCATCCATTTGTCCTTCTTGATACCATTAACACTTCTACATTACACTTGATACATTAACACATTAACCTTCTTCCAGTGGTGGTACTGGGATACCATTACCTCAGAGTCCCTCTCTCCCACTTTAGCTCGCAGGTCTGAGGCATGACTCATTGAAGGGACTATAAAGTTTGTTTTGCAACGAGCTACTAAGAAACTAACAACTCCATTATACTGTTTTATTGGTTACTAAATCAATTGTTAATGTATAATGTAATCAACTGACAGACACATGACTATTAGCAGTTTCACAGGTATGTGCAAAATGATTTTTTGCACAATGTGTTAAATTGCTATTTAACACACTTAAATCTTATTAGCTAGACACAACTGCAATTGAAATACAGCTCTCACTGTTCCCTCCCAAACTGCATTTGGATGCAATTCCACCCCACCTTGCTCTGCCCTCTCACGTACAGTCTTATGGGCATTAGTGCTGGAGAACCCAACCAGTTGCTTAAAGAGGATTGCTCTAGGGTCCCTGTGGTCTCAGTCTTTAGGGCACCCTCGCTACATTCTGTAGGTGTCCACGTTCCTGCTGCCCAAAGCATGGGGTTTCTGATGCAGTCACCTGAGCAATTTCTGCCTTGTACACTACTGATATGGTTCCCTAGGTACAAGTGGCCCTGCAAAGTTCTGCTCTCCAGCAGGTCACCTAAACACCCCTTCAGTTGTCTGGTTCATTCTGATTACACGTGGCTTATGTGTAACAAACCTATTTAAGGTAAATTGGTTTGCTTAACCTCAGTTGCTCTATCTACTTCATGCCACTGAAGTACAAATACTTTTCTTAGCTTATACACAGTCCACACAGCATGAAAAATCCTGCTTTGTTGGTTTTGAGCTTACACAGCATCCTGCTGCCTTAGTTGCTTGGTTACAAATCATTGCCCTTGATGTATTCTTAGAACAATCTTCTGATTTCCTGCGAAGTTTTGATACACCTGCAGGATGTTTTGTTTGTGGATATCCAGTAGCATGGTCTGTTGAAGTGACTGAGATAGAACTCTGTCATGTCACAGTGTATCTCTTCCACCTATTAATCATCACCTGTTTATCATGGAAAGTTTCTCTCTTAAATAACTGTATCTGTTCTGTTTCTATACTCATTTTTCAGTAACACTTGTTTTCTAACATAAAACATGATTGGTTGCAACCTTGTGTTGAAAGCTTATGTTGTAAAACAAAGTATGCCCCATTGCTCATTGACCAGAGTCAGTATTTTATGGACTATTTAATACTGTTTTTATTGCCTTCAATTATAGTTATATTTATAAGAGTATTCCTAGTCCTAGAAAAATTCTCAAATATGCTGAAGATTTACTGTATTTCCATTAATTTTTGTGAAAGCAATGCCTCTGACCTAAAAGATGAGAATATATTTAGTTGCTTCAAAATATATTTCATTTGAATATATATCAGCACAGTTTTATCCAAAGCTATAATCAGAACGGTAGGAAGCTCAGAAAGATCTTTAAGGTCATGAAGATCAGATGTTGTTTTGTATGCACAATCTGTATGTGCTCTGTAAAGTAATTAACATTTTCAATAAAACATACCGGTATCATCCCTTTGTTTTCTTAAGGTGCTGGGTAAAGATTATTTTCTTGGGAAAAGGAGCTTAGCTTTGGTAAAATTGTAAACTAATGGAGTAACACCAGAAACAAAACTTATAATCCAGTTGAAAGTGATTTCAAGTTATTCTTGACAATGTTAAAAAAAAATCTCAGAAGAATAAGATCTGGGGATTCTTTTAAGTTGCTTTTTTGTTTAGAGGAGATGGAGAAAAATCAAAGCACGTAATATAGTTTAGGATCTAAATGGGAGTCATTTCCAACTGTAAGGGCTATTGCAATGAAGGTTCAGTCCTGTTCAGACTGAAGGTTTAATGGTCAACCTAGTAAATTGGGTGGTATGTAAATGTGAAAATCGGTCATGCTAGGGAAGAGGTTCAAATATACGATCACAATCCTATGTAAGACTAAAAAAGCAAATAAAGCAAATCTCTCTAGCAGGTCATATAGTAAAAGCCAAACTCACTATTCTATAGCAAAATACATGGTATAAATCATGTGACAGGCTTCCAGTGATCATAGTTGTGCAAATGTAAATAATAATGCAGTGCATTCTAAACAAGCTCAAAATGGCAGGTGATTTTACCAGGTAAGTTATTAAAATGAATCAAGGCCTCTGGAACTTAATTGTTGTAGTTATCAGTCATAGGCTATCATGAGGTAAATGAAAGCATAAACTGTATAAATAAATTTTTTTGAAAGCAGATATAAACTTTCATCAACAAAGCTAAATGCTAGAACAGATTTTTCTTGTATGAAAAGTTAACAAACATAATTGGATGACATCTTTTAAGGTACCCCTAAAGGAAAGTAATCTGTGTGTTCTGTTCTAGGTTGCTTCCCTAAAGAAGAATGTGGGTCAGTTCAGTGGGTTTCCATTTGAAAAAGGAAGTGACCAATACAAAAAAAAGGAGGAAATGTTAAAAAAGTAATGATCTCTATTGCTACTTAATATAGTCTGACTCATGCTCTACATTCTTTCTATTTTCAAAATTTTGCTTCACAAAGTTTATGTTGCACTCCATACATGGTGCAAGCTTTCATCCCTTTCACCTCTCTGTGTCTCAAAACCTGTCTTCTTCAAACTCTAAACCATTTCTGTTCGTTGTATATTAAAAGTACAGTATTATTCCTAGAACTGTTGTCAAATAAATGTAGTGATTTGTAGCAACTAACATAACAAATAGGTGTTTTTTTTGTTTGTTTTGTTTATTTGTTTTTAACTGTTTCCACTGCAAAAACACCTATTTCAAAAATGCAACTTTTTCTCACATAAGCACCTTCTCTATCAACAGAAGTGGCTGCAGCTTGGTTGTTATGGACTGAAAGGGTTTAAAAATGTAAGCCAGTATAGCTAGTCATAACAAATGGAAGAATTTCAGGTTGCAGACATAAGCCAGGCAGCAGCTTCCAGCAGTCAAAAGTTGATCTATCATTTATGAAGTGATACTGAATCCTTTTTTTTTTTTTTCCTCTTACTCCTACCTCCAGATTTAGAAATGCGATGTTGAAAAGTATCTGTGAAGTTCTTGATTTGGAAAGATCAGGAGTTAATAGTGAACTGGTAACCAGGATCTTAAACTTCTTGATGCACCCAAAATCTTCAGGCAAGGTGAGATACAGATTGCTACACTTGTTTTTATAGCTCTATTCTAGTGAAAAATTCAGCTGTCTCCATTCCTGAAAGTGCGTAGTACTACTACTGCAGACATCCTAAATGTACCTGCTCAAGCTTGCTAAGGATCTTAAGGGTGAGAACTTTGATAGAAGATGCTTACATGTAGGAGCACTTGTCATACGCTGTTAGCACTCAAAAGCATGTGTGAAGCTAATTAGGAACATCCATACCTAAAGCCCATAAGTGGCTTCTGCCTTGTGGATGGATGGGACAGAATGCACATAATACATAATCAGGAAAGAAAAAAAAAGTGTCAGAGCAAAGAAATAAAACGTGAAAACACAGGAAAATAAACAGTCAGATGTACCTGGGCACACCATATGTTGACAAGTGTGTGTAATCACACTCAAAATGGAATTTATTGTGGGGCTGGGAATATTTGCTTTATCTAGTATATTCTAATGCACTGCATTCAGCTGCCAAGACTACTAAACTATCAGTAATCTTCTTCAGCCCTCAATTTTCAATCTAAAATCAATACTTAACTAGTCAGACTATTGCTCAGGAAATTAAATTTATTCCTAGCATACAGTGGTAACTAATAGGAACAAGTCAGCATATTGCCTTAGGCACGCTGATACCGAGTGACAACAAAATGCAATTTTGTATGACCTGGAAAGTTGTCATCTAACTTGTTGCTAGAAGAAAAAGTTTGCCTTTGTGGGTAATGTAAAAGATTCCTTCTAAATTGTTCTTTCTTGTTTCCCTTCCCTAGTCCTTGACAGTGGAAGATCTGTTCCATTGTGGGAGTAAAAGGGATGCTTAGTTTATAAGTGAACTTAAGTTTCATTTTACTCTGATATACCCCTGTACTATGAATTTCTGCTTATGGTATAAAAGTAGCATGTACAATTGGTCTGTGTTTTTTTTTTTTTTTGATATGACAACATAAAGACCTCTGTACTTAGCATTCTTTCACATGATTTGGAGGTATTTATACATTTCAAAACTCACTTTTGTATTCCTACTTGAATAACACATCCCTGTCTCTCAGCCATTGCCAAAGTCCAAAAAAACACCAAGTAAAGGTGGCAAAAAGGAGCGCAGTAGCACCGGAACAACAAGAAAAGCAAAACGCACCAAGTGTCCAGAGATCTTGTCAGATGAATCTAGCAGTGAGGAAGATGAAAAGAAGGAAAAGGATGAGTCTTCAGAGGAAAAAGAAAGTGAAGAGGAGGTAATGAGGATTTTTGTTGTTGTTTTTCAACATAGGGCTAAAAATACTTGTCTGCAATTTGTCACTGTGGTTGTTATCAATTGGTAATTCTTGGAACACCCAAGGTTGGGAGGTAAGTGATGTTTTACTGAATGAATGGCTTGAAAGTGAAACATCGAAAAGGGAACACATCTTCAGTTTTTAAGAAATTGTCATGATTTCTTTGTACATTAAAATTGGAGAATCAATAAGGCAAAGGTTCTGATTTTTGTATATATATATACACACTGTACAAACCATTTGCTCTATGTCGCTTAGGAGCAGTCAGGGTTTCAAGTGCAATGAAGCTTATTCTTAATTGTTAACTTAATTCTTACATCATTTTGTGAAGATTTTATTAATATGATTTTCATTTAAAAGAGAAAAAAATCCTAGGATTTTTTGAGTGTGTGCCTATGTGTGTAGGGTTTGATTGGTTATCTAGGAGTTAACTTTGAACTCAGTAGATGTCCCTAAGCGATGTCCCTAAGCTACTCAGCTGCATTGTTTCCAGATCTGGGTTCCACGTTTCCTCTGGATTGTGTCATAATTTCTCTTTTAAGAGTTCTGTGTCTTGGATCACAAAGCTAAAGGGAGCAACATAGTAAGCAGCCTTACAGAGATCCCTGCAGTCTCCAGAGTGTTCTCACCTCACTATTTGTAGTTCTTCTGTATTTTCTTTGAAATTTAATTCGGTTTTCCATTGAAGGAGAAAAATGAAATGAACTTTATATTTAAATTCAAGCTATCTTTCTATGTGCATTCCCTTTCAGTCCAGTACTTACAGAATAGGCACATGGAGAGCCAGTGTAAGTGTACAGATGCCACTGAGTTGTCCTTGTGCCTGAAGTATGGTAAAAAGAAATGAGAAGGAACTACAGTCTCCATCTTATGTCGTATTTTGATTTAGACAGTACTGCCTTTTTAGCTGTAATCAAAGCCCTGAAACAAACAGCAATTAGTCAACTAGTGTCAAAGAAAATTCTTTATGTAAGCTACAGAGCTTTTGGCCGTAAAGTGTGACCATTATTTACTTGGGTTGCATTCCCTCTACTGTAGTGCAAGTGTAACCCTAAGTAAATAGTCTGAGTTGTAGAAAATAGTAACAAAAGTCTTTTGTTAGAAAGCTGATGTATGTAACTTCAACTGTTGATGCAAACACTGTCATTTTGACAGGTGCTCATTTTAACTTTAAAGTTTGTTCAAGGAAATTCCTCACATCTCCATAAAACAAACTTAATTTCTAAATTTCTTCCCCCAGAAATAGTAAGTCAAAGGAGGGCTGAAATGCTAAAAGTTAATTTTATATTTGTTCATCTCTTCAGCAGTACAGTCTTCCTGCTGTGAGGAAAGGAACGTGGCTTTCAGAGCCAGGAGTCTGCTTTTAGAAACTTTTTCAAGAACTCGAGTATTTAAGGAAAAAAAAGTAAACCCTATTGATCTAACTGGGTCTTCTTTGTCTTCTTTCAAAAGGTAGGAGTTAGATGTCTGCCAGGCAATAGCTGAGTGCACTGTAGTCTTTGGAAAATGAAGCTGATTTGCATGAAACAAAAGCTTAATTACTACAAAAAGACTATTGTGTCAGATCAGTTTGGATATAGGAAATGGTGAAGTAGTAAATGTGTACCTTTGTACAACCTTGAGATGACAGCATTTTAAAAATGCTAGGTTTATAATACTCCTTCACATACTACAGGTTGAAGGATGCAGGTAAGATATCTGCTTTGTTACCCCATTTCTGTTGGAATCTGGGGCATGGAGTGGCTGGAATAGAGTTAAGAGCCTCTCTTGATTGCAGTTTGTTTTTTGTTTTGTTTTAAATCTTACCTGGAAGCAGAAAATGTCTGAAATACTTTTGTGTGCTGAGGGAGCATAATTTTGTAAAAGCTTAAATGTGAGTGCTGGTTTTAACCTTTGACTTTGTAGCTAGTGATAGAACTTCAACAGAAACTCAGAAGTTAATGGGGTGATTATTGAATGTATTTCCTGAATTTCAACAATGAAGGTCTGAATTCTTTACTTAACACTGTTGTGTAGGTGTATAGTTGCAAGGGCAATTATAAGCGAGCAAGCTGATATAAATAAATATATTCTGGTTTATTGAATACTAGTTTCATGGGTTATATCAGGTACTAATGGGAAAAGTGGTTGAAAGTTGTATGAACTAATCGTAATTTTTTTAGGTGTGATAGTTTGCTCAGTTGACTACACTGCCATTTAAAAATTTTAATTACTTATGAATTTAGTAACTTTAGTTGATTGGTTTTGTTTCATGATGTTCCTTCTCTTTACTCCTGCTCAAAGTTTTTTATTTGTTTCTGTGAGGAAGGTTTTCAGCCTTGTCAGAAATACTACGTAAAGATTTTTGTGTGTTAAGCACGCAGTTTTGTGCCAAAAATGCAATGCACTGATAGCGTCTATACATATAAAAACATCAGTATGTATTTATGTTCCCAATTTCACCTGCTGGTAGTAACTTAATGCAGTAACTTTTTGAGTTTACTAATCACAATAACCGGTCAAATTAAGTATTAGCTCATATAGTTCTTCTCAACTAGTGCAAAAAGAATTAGTTGCATGTAGTCCTAGGGAGTGATAGGATCTAGAAATTAATTGAACACAATGTGCTAGGTTTTGTGTAAGAAGTTTTATAAGCTAGGTACAGCTTACTATGACTTTGAGCAACCTGATCTAGAGGAAGTTGTCCCCACCTATGTCAGAGGGGTTGTAGCTAAATGTTTGTTGTTTTTTTTTTTTTTAAAGTTCTTTCCAACCCAAACCATTCTGTGCTAGTGAATTGCAAATGGTACGTTGTAGCACAACAAAATTACTGGTATCATCAAAAAGTTCTAGCTGTTTGAGTCTGTGTAGAGGAACAACGTGAAATTTTAAAAAAATCTGAACATATTCCCTCTATGGTGTAGGGATAGAAATTGCTAGTAAAACGTAGTAACTCAATCTGTTGATTTAGTTTGTATCAACAATGCAAATCATCCCTTCTGTTGAAAAGAGGAATGGATTGTTCAATTAGAAACCACGATTTTAATCTTCCGTTTTCCTTTATAGGCCCCTAGAAAAGCATCCAAAAGAGAAAAGTCTAAAAAGACGACTTCCAAACCCAAGAAAGCTGTGAAGGGTGCTAATGTCAAGAAGGCAGACAGCAGCACTACTAAAAAGAATCAGAACAGTTCTAGAAAAGGTAAATGCTTTAAATCTTTCCTCGTGTGTTGTCTTATAGCTTAACGGAGATCTTTATTAGAAGGCAGGTTTCTTTACCTGGTTATGAAGGAAAACGTAATCTGGTAAATAATGGACTTGCTGCTTGATGTGTCTTTCCTTGAAATGGTAATATTTTAAAAATGTTCTGTTCTGGGTATACCTTTATATAACTTATCTATGTGCATACGTATTTTACTTGCCTAATCATTGAAAGTATCAACCTAGTTCTGTCTTCCGCTGGAAGAATATTAGTGAAATTCTGTTAGTGCCTCTATAGGGACTTTAATCTTATAGATGCTTTAGTATATATCCTGCTGCGTGTGCCTCTTACTCAGCAGCCCAATGCAGTTTTGGTGACATAGGTAGGGGTTGTATGTGCATCCTGTTGCTCTTAGTTTTCTCGTATCTGACAATATACACAGAAGGTACACATCCAGTATACCATGTAGAGGTTCCAGCAGTGTTATCAGGGACAGACTGGTTTCTTTCGAAGCAACTTAGCAGAAAAGTACCTGCGTTAGGGGGAAATGGTTCCTACAGGCACTGAGCTGAACCCTAGTGAGCAGTGTGCCCCTGTGACAAGGAAAGCCAACAACACTCTGGGCTGGTTCAGCAAGTGTATAGCCACAGGCTGAGGGAATTATTGCAATTAATTATTGCCCCGTGTTGAGCACTTGTCAGCCTGCCCTGGGAGTGCTGTGCCCAGCTCTGGGCTCCCTTGTACAAGGCGGGTGCGGACAGCCTGGAGTGGAGGGAGGGCCGGCAAGGTGACAGGGCTGGAGCACACACTGCAGAGGGATGCTGAGCAAGCTGGGCTCCATCAGCCTTCAGAGCTTTGTAAATGGGGACCGTGCTGCAGCCTGCAGCTGCTGAGTGGGAGAGGAAAGGCAAGGCAGGGCCAGGCTCTGACTGGAGGTGTGCGGTGAGAGGATGGGAGGCACAGACACGAGCTGCCATCAGGGAAGTTGCAGTTGTATGTTAGGAGAAGCAAAGCCTCACCATGAGGGTGTTCCCACAGAAAAGGGGCCTGGAGCAGTTGTAGCATTGCCCTTTGTTGGAGGTGTTATTGCAGGAAGCCAAGCAAGCCACTCCACTGTCCCCGTTCCCAGAGGCAGCTTAAACCAGATCATCTCCAGAGGTCCCCCCCAGCCTTAAATGCTCTGACCTGCTATGAGTAAACAGCTGTGCCTCTGTCCCAGTTGTTCTGTGTTACTAATCCAGCACGTAGCCATATGCTGCTGACAGTTCACTTAATGCCAGCACCAGCACACGTATGGAACAGAACACACGGCAATTCAGACTGCCCTGTTTGTCAGTGTGTTGACAGTCACAACTCCCAGTCATAGAGCTATGCTAAACTTTCATAGCCTAATTTCTCAGCAGTTACCTAGCCTGTGCTGAACTCAGTTTTTGTTTGTCTGCTGGCAGTAATAATGTGATTGATTCTGTGTCTGTGTACATTTAATTTTGCTATTACAAATATTATATATTTTATATATATATAAAGCATATATATATTATATATAGCTGTGTGTTACATAAAGTAAGCATCATTTCTTCTTTATTCCTACCCTCTCTCTGTTTTGAGTGTATGTTCACCCTACAAAAAACAAAACGTTAAGTATGTCTTTCTGAATGCTCATTCTGTAGATTTATTGGCATCTGCTCTGATGATCTGTGCCTCCTCTGAGAGTAGAGGAACTGAGTGGAAGTTAGAGTCAGTCAGTCTCAGTTTTTTCGTTTCTGGAAAGGATTGTAGGAGTGTTACCTGTATGTCCTGTCCTTTCACATAACTTCCTCTTGGCATAGTTTTTCTGATGGCATGTTTATTTTTACAACATTACAAAATTACAAGACCTTAATGGGCAGCGCTGCTGGGGAAAAGTAAATCAAAACTCCTTTTTGAAGCAGATAAGTACTATTAGGTACATAATACCTCAGTTCAGAATCGTTATAATAAACTTCTTTGTAATTTGATAGATGAGTGTAATTGGTCCCATACTTTCTAGAATACATATTGATTTGTAAGCTAGTAGTTCATGGACAGTGATGCAGAGTCCTAAATAAAGGTAATACTAACAGCACTAGCTTTGATTTTAAAGCAATGGTCTGGCAAGATAACCATTTTGAGGGAGATCATCTGCAGCAGTTGTTTGGGAAAAGTTCTGGTGGCTTCTGTTTTGGGAGAAGAAGGCAGGCAAATTTAAAATCTTGTATTACAACTCAAATTATTCTTCATATTTAGAAAGTGAGTCTGAGGATAGTTCAGATGATGAACCTTTAATTAAAAAGCTGAAGAAACCACCCACAGATGAAGAACTAAAGGAAACTGTCAAGAAATTGCTGGCCAATGCAAACTTGGAGGAGGTCACAATGAAACAAATTTGCAAGGAGGTAAGCAAATGATTTTGCAATCTTTTTTTCTTTTAGATAGTGAGTTGTCTATAAACGAACTTTTGTGATCTTTTTTTAATGAATTGTGGCTTGTGCTCTGCATAATTTTTTTTCTGAAACAGTGTTTTTGCATTGATTTACTTACCAACAGCTACAGCAAGGTGATCCTTAATTTTAAGTTATGCAGCACTGATGCTCCACACAAGAACAGAAATCTCTAAATCAAAATGAGCTATGTGGAAAGTAGCAGTATTACCTCCAAAACTGCTGTGTACAGAACTGCAAGTGTTAGAGCTGTTGAGATAGTGCAGTGGTTTTCTACTGTCAAAGGGGGAGGGCTGTGTCCTGCTCCGTGCACATTTTTCCTGCTCACCTTGCTCTTCCTCTATTCTCTTTGAGTCAATTCAGTGCTAACCTACCACCAAAAGATGAATAGTTGTCAGCTGAGTTAGTGAATTCAATGGATTCAGCAAAGGAGTCATTAAGCGTCAGAACAGGAGCCAGGAAGGAACGTGGATGGAAAAGGGAAGCGACCACCACGCAGACAATACCGTTAGTTTGGCACTTCTACAGTCATTTAACTCACATGTTTGTTTTCTTCGTACTTCCACAAAGTTATCTTAAGAAAACTAAACCAGCAGTTCATCTTAGGAGAACTGTACATTTGTATCCTGTACAAACGTCTGTTCATGTCTACAGTCATTCCAGAATGTCTGAAACTTGTAGTGGAATTAAGTATTCTGCGTTGATTGTCAGTATTGGCATCTAGTTTTTTTTTGTGTGGTATCTCTCCACACCTTAATCCTGGTGGTTAGCCAAAGAGTAGTTGTAATGTAGCACTTAAATATGTTGACTCTTATGTTCGTGATTTTGAGGATCACAATTTCACTTTTTTACCAAAAACAAATAAAACCTTTGGGTTTTGTTTTTTCCTATTATTATTTTTAGCTTTCAACCCTAATGCAGGAGGCATCTGTCTACTTAGACAGCATGTAAGACAAAACCTGGAAAATTCTTAATTTTCCTGACGTGGCAAGATAGGCATTCCCATTCATTTATCTGTTGTGATAATAGAACTAATTTATTCGGTGACCAAACATAAAAAATACATGCATTTAATTTTTGTGATCAAAATTAGAGCAGGAAAACCACTTTCCATAATTAACAGAGGGAATTTTGACAGTTGTACTACTGTCAATTAAAACAGCAATTTTTGCCCTAATTTCATTTAAGCTTCTCCTATTCATACAACACATTGAATTAAAGTAACTTGAGGTTGTATTTTTTTTATTCTTTTTTTTAGGTGTACGAAAACTATCCTAGTTATGATTTATCTGACAGAAAAGACTTCATTAAAAAAACAGTCAAAGAGGTAAAGACCTTATTGTTTATAAAAGTTTCTGTAGTTTTTTGCAGTCTGTTAAAAATTGGCATGGCATCCTTTTACACTGGCTTTAATAGCCTCCTGTATAGTATTGGAGGTACCCCAAATTTCAGTTTCTGATAAACGTGAATAGTTCTGGTGGGGGGAGGGGGGAGTGTTTTCCTGTATTCCTCTTCCTAAAATAACTGGTCCAGACTTTTTTTTTTTGATATCATTTCAGTACTACTTCATGAGTTTCTTTCATAAGCAGAACTAAAACTATAGTTACAGTATTTTTGATGACTTCTGACTGTCTGAAAGCTATGCATTTTCTTTTAATTGCAGCCTTGGCTGCAGGTTGCCGTACAAGTCAAGCTCTGGCAATAAGAGAAAGCAAAAGGGATAAAGATAAATAGGTTTTCTTTGCATGTGCCTCTCTTCATATGCTTCTGAGAGCACAGTATGATGCTGCCTTTGAGTTTTTCTTTTTTCATGTGGCTTTATTTGCAGATGTTGAAATGATTTATGGGTGTCTAGAACATAGCCGTACCTGTGTGCTGTGCATACATATGTACATGTCATTACCACCAAAAGGCATAAATAAGAGCAATCTATCTGATGCAGGGATGTTCTTGTTTGTGTTTTTTGTTTTTGTTTTTTTTGTTGTTTTTTTGTAATAGCAAAAGTAGAGTATTTTCTTCGTAGTCTGATGCTAAAGGAGAGGCTATATGTAACTGGATTTAGAGAAAAGAGAAAACTAACGCACTTCTCATTTCAGTTGATTTCATGATCTGGTTTGACTGTGGGAAATTGAAGATTCCTGATTTTATGTTCCCATGGATTTGAAGATCTGATAGGCACCAGCAAAAGGAAAGTGTCTTACCCTTGTGGTATTTAGTCAGAGTTGATTCTGCTGATCTAATGCAAAGAGTGTTGATGTAAATCATGTTGTGTATCTTTTTTTTTTTTAAACTAAACATGCATTTGATGCAGTTTTTAGTTGAACATACTTAAGTTTTGTGCATGGCAATAAGTGTTCCCTTTTTATAGTTTTTGTACATTTTGAATTGCTTTGTATAATTAGATTCATTAGACATCACAGTTTAGTCTGCCTTACTAGCTTGCAGAAGATTTTAAGATGAAGATGAGAGCTGTTTATCTGTGGATATACATGCAGAGACTGGAATATCGCAGTATTGGTTATTAAAAAATATTTTGAATACATATCCATTCTGAAAATACCAAGAGTTAATCACATGTTAATGTCTTTTATATTCTGATACATTCTACAGATGCAGAGTTATTCTAAATCTAGATTACTGTCTTGCATGTGTAGGCACTGAGACAACTGTTAGAGCATGGTAACTAATTCGCATATAGATGTTATTTTTGTACTTTTAAAAGGCTTTCTGTTGTGTATATAAAGTTATTTCAGATTTCTTTTGTGCAAATCAGTTTTTTAATCTTGTAATCTTGGAGGATTTATGACATGAAATGTCACTGTTCAGCAGTGAGGCTGTGATGAAAAGTGGGATGCAGAAGTTTTGTGAAACTACAAATGAGTTGAGGTTTTACAGTGTTTTTCCCATCTTACCTTGTACAGAAATGAAACTGTAGTTTTATACTTAAGCTTTTCAGCATTTAACTTTGTACAAAGACTACAGGTACATTTGTTTCAATGGCTTGACATACTAAATAAAATCCCTCTAAAGTCTACAGGGAAATTTTCAAATTTCACTTTGTACAAAATCTTTTATTTTAGTGTCTTGATTTAATGGCCTAACGTCTCAGAAGTGGGTGTCCAGGACGTGCAGCTGGGAGGCTTGAGAGCTTTGGAAGCCCACAGTGGGGCTTCTGCACCAGGCATCGCTAAGTGTGTGGTTAAGCTCTGTTCCGTGTGCGAAAGCTCTTCTGAACCTGAGCCCTGGTGCCTCAACATGTGCAATGGTACTTTTAAGTCTGCAGTCTTGAACTTTGGCCCACAGCTTTTTGGATCAAGGTGAACTCTTTGCATAAGTTTCTGTTCTTTAGGTTTCTGTTCTCCGTACACCATGTTGTTAATATGGAAAGTCCTACACTTAAAATTATGAACTACCAACAGACGTCAAAGTGTGGGCTGCCAGTAACGCCATGAGCAAAGAATCCCTCTGACTACAGTATTGCTGGAAAGACAAAGCATATTTTTGAATTTTATTATTGTACAGTTGGGAAATAAAGGTTCATAAGTGATCTAAATTCTGAAAATGTTCAGCCAGTTAGATTGTTAAATATCATACACGTTGAATTTCTTTGCATATAATCATTTATAAGAAGGCTGACTGCAACGGGGTTTTTTTGTATTCAATAAATGTCTTTCACAAAAATGTAAATCAATTTTGATGATACAACATTTGCTTAAATGTATAGTAAAAATTACACAAACAAAGTTGTTGTCTCTATCTCATTTGGTAGAAATACCCAAGCCTGATTCAGCAGGCTTCTCTAAAGATATTTTTCCTGAAGTGCATGTCCTTGCAGCAAGTTATGATTTTATATCTTCTGTTATTTTTTTCCTCTGAAATATTTCAGCATAAAGAAAACTTTGTAAATTTTAATTAAAAATGCCAGAAGTTTCTACTTCTACTAGAAGTCCTGCCTAAAAGTGGTAAGTTACTTGTGTCAAGTTCTGTTGTGATTTCAGATGGATTTTCTACAAATAATTTACCTTCCTTGTGATTGTTATGTAAATACACCAGTCAGTTTTAATTATGTGGGTCAGGAAGTGTTTTTAAGGTGAATAACTTCCAAGTATAAACATTTCTTACAGTGTAAATTCTAACAAAAACTTACAAAGGGATAGTGTACTTCTATTTATTGTATATGTGCATTACTTGCCATCTTGGAGTTGTGATGAGTGACTGGAAATGAACTTAGCAACCTTCAAAGGCTGTGTTTATATCTCTTAATTACAGCTAAGTGTAGCTCTCAGCTGAGAAGAAATGTCTGAGCTGTTTCTCTGCTAATTCATTCCAGTCTGGCTGCAGCTGATAAAAGATTCCAGTTCTTTCTACAACAGTATGGAAGGCTGCAAGACAGTACTAAAAGGTACATAAAATGTCCTGGTTATCCTGATGCTATTGGATTAAAAACACAGCTGATCAGGGCTCTAGATGCTCTACAGAGATGCTGGTTTAAAAAATAGTTACTGGCTAATTGCATAAAATTTAACGGAGTATGATGTTCAGGCATGTACCTTGCAGAAGTATAAGATCATATCCTGACCATGTGTGAGCTTGGCACTTGAAGTTCATGGGACCTGCAGAAGAAGGGGGATGGAGGCAAGGATGGAGGCAATGAGGTGGGGAAAGGGAGGAGTAGAAATTTGTAGGGTGAGGGGAGAGAGATAGGGTTGTTGCATGTCTTTAGACAAACAGCTGAGTTGGAGTTATGGGGTGACCAACCCATGGGATACTGCTCAGTCATGTCTAACCAAGACTAACTTGGGAAGACAGCTGCAAGTGCTGTCCTACTTTCTCCAGATGCTGTAGACTAATAGCCTTCTTGGACCTGAACAGGCTGTTCATGGTATCTGTGTTCTTTCTGCATTTTCCTGCTAACAAGATACATGACAAAACAAGATGTATGAATGCCTGCGTTTAGATTAGGCACTGCTAAGCAGGGCTTAAATAAGCTTTTTGGAGCCCAGTGCTTAATCTGGCCAAGTAATGCAGTCAGCACAGGGATTGCAGGAAGATTTATTAGGTCTGTTGCTGTTTTGGAGAGAGGGTTCCTCATAACCACTCAGGTAGAACTAATTATTCCTCCTTTCAAATTAGTTGTGTGGTAAATGTGTCAGTCAGGGAATGGTTTCAGTTGGAAGGGACCTCTGGAGGTCATCTGATCCAACTCACCTGCTCAAGGTGACTTTAATCAAGTAGCTCCTACTGAGTCAGATTGAAAGCATTCCTGAAATTGCTTTTTTTTTTTTTCTTTTTACATTGTTATTTCTACTATTTTTATTTTGGTTCCCATCACTTAGGGAGGACAGTGGAAAAATCTATAAGGTACCAGAACACTTTGTCTGAAAACTTGCAGTAAGAAACTTGGTTTAAAAAAAAAAAAAACACTTTTCTCTTGCTGAAGAATGTGAAGAAACATCTTGAGTGCTACTGAGTGTGTTGTTGTTCCTCTTCAAATAAATATCTCCTTGCCTTTGAATTCAGAAGTGATTATAAAAGTGAGTAGCTGAAAGCTGTATGTCAAGAAGTCTGTTCAGTTGGACCTTGACTTGCAGGAGAAAGGGGCAGACAGGAACCTCGTAAGGATCAACAGAAGCAGATGCAGCATCTGGGACGTAATAATGCTTTGTAACAGTGTGAGTGGAGACAGACTGGCTTCTTTCTAAGCAACCTGTCAGAAAAGGACCTGAGTTGGGGCAAGTGGTTCTCAGAGGCACTGAGCTGAGCCCTAGTGACCAGTGTGCCCCTGTGACAAGGAAAGCCAACAACACTCTGGGCTGGTTCAGCAAGTGTGTAGCCAGCTGGCTGAGGGAATTACTGCAATTAATTGTTGCCCCATGTTGAACACTTGTCAGCCTGCCCTAGAAGCAAAGCCGCACTGAGAGGGTGTTCTTCCAGAAGAAGGGCCTGGAGCAGTTGTGGAATTGCCCTTTTGTTGGAGGTGTTCAGGCAGGAAGCCAAGCAAGCCACTCCACTGTCCCTGTTCTGAGAAGCAGCTTAAACCAGATCATCTACAGAGGTTAGATCTCCCTTCTCACTATGACTCGATGAGAACAGATGAAATATTTCTCCTTTAATGAGAAATTCACTATTGGAGCAGCTTGCTAGCGCAAAAGTAATTAAGTGTTGCTCTGAAATGTCCAGTAGCTGTAGGGTGGCAAAGTAAAAGAGTAATAGGCTCACGCAGGTGCAGTTTTGCTGAAATTCAAGGGTGTTAGACAAAGCAATGAGCTTAATGTTCTTTGCCTAATTAAAGAAAAAGTCTTTTGAAAACAAAGAAGAAAAATGCCCTCTTAGCTATTCATAAAACATTCATGGTAGTACTAGTACTTGATATAGAATCATAGAATAGCCTGAGTTGGAAGGGACCCTTAAGGATCATCAAGTCCAACTCTTGACACCGCACAGGTCTACCCAAAAGTTCAGACCATGTGACTAAGCGCACAGTCCAATCTCTTCTTAAATTCAGTACAGGCTCGGTGCAGTGACCACTTCCCTGGGGAGCCTGCTTCCAGTGTGCAACCACCCTCTCTGTGAAGAACCCCCTCCTGATGTCAAGCCTAAACTTCCCCTGCCTCAGCTTAACCCCGTTCCCGCGGGTCCTGTCGCTGGTGTTAATGGAGAAAAGGTCTCCTGCCTCTCGACACCCCCTTACGAGGAAGTTGTAGACTGCGATGAGGTCTCCCCTCAGCCTCCTCTTCTCCAGGCTGAACAGGCCCAGTGCCCTCAGCCGTTCCTCGTACGTCTTCCCCTCCAGGCCTTTCACCATCTTCGTAGCCCTCCTCTGGACACTCTCCAACAGTTTCATGTCCTTCTTGAACTGTGGTGCCCAGAACTGCACACAGTACTTGAGGTGAGGCCGCACCAGCGCAGAGTAGAGTGGGACAATCACCTCCCTCGACCTACTAGCGATGCCGTGCTTGATGCACCCCAGGACACGGTTGGCCCTCCTGGCTGCCAGGGCACACTGCTGGCTCATATTCAACTTGCTGTCTACCACGACCCCCAGATCCCTCTCTTCTAGGCTTCATACAGCATGTGATGTATAGTAATAAAATATGCTGTCCTGGGGGAATCTTACCATCTCAAGCCCCAGACTTGGTAAAAACCTAGCACCTTACCTGTTCAGTGTGTAGGAGGATGGCAGCATTAACAGGATTTGCCTCTCTTTCACCTGACATTATTCATGTGACTGCAGGCAGTCCTTATCTCACTACTTATTTCACTTTCATTTCTGAGATAGCTCAGCTGCCTAAGCCTAACTTGGAAAAAAAAATCCCTTACACCAGCTATTTTATTTGAAGGACAGTCATGGGGGGTAAAGGGGGAAGTGTGGTGAAATCTACTAATTATACTTAAATATTAGTGCTACTTTTAAAATTTTCTTATGTCTTAAAGATTGCCTTTCTTAGAATGAAGCTACCATTCTTCAAGACCAGTGTCATGCATAAAGAAAATTTCCTGGAGGGCACTCAGCATTAGGAGAAATAAACAGGTCATCAAGGTACATGTTGAACTGTGAGGGCAAAGCAGTGAACCTGCCATGCAGTAGTGCTTTCACTGTGTCAGAGCTACAGGTGTTACTGCTTGAAATAAGCTTTTAAAGAGGATAGGATTTTTTTTGTCTCTTGTATGTTTGAAGTCAGTTTTACCCCCCAAACAAACATCTAACCCCGTCCCCCTTCAAGCAGAACAAGGTAGGTAATTGTTATCAGCGTTTTTCACTGGGCAATCAAATATTTCAGGGCTGCCTTGTTTGTATTTTAAAGGTTTGTAATGCGTAGTCAGGCTTCCACAGCTGTATGTATGCTTCTAGTGATCTGAGCTAGTAGGAATTTTTCAGGACTGTGACTTCACAAAGCATTCATGCTAGTTATTCAATGAAAAGCAGTAAGTGTTTCTCTGGTGATTGTGTAGCTATTTTAATATCATAATATCATAGTCACTGCTTCTGAACAGTTGTCCTTTTACCCTAAATTTTGGAATTATAAGGGAAATAATTTGATATGAGCTTAAGTACTTTGTAAAGTTTGGAGGCAAAAGATACTATTTTGGTATTGTCCAAGTAACAGCAAAATTAGTAGTTAGAACTCAGCTGTAGCACAGGACTACTGAGGAATTGTTTAGCTGTAAGAATATGCTAATATGAAGTCTTAGAGCAATATCAAGTTTAACAAAAATGTAGGCTTAGCCACTAGTTAAATTTCAAGAAAGAAAAGAAAAAAAAACACACCACAAGTGCCCTGTGGATACTTTCCAGTTTTATTCTGCTGCCATAACATAGTCACACAGAAGAGTTGAAGTGTAACAGATCATGCTCTGCATTCAAATATTTTTGATAACATTTAAACAAACCTGCTCAAAAAAAATTCCCTAGTTCTTTATTTGCAGGGAATAAATTAATTAAACACAAAAGTAAAACACATACATGCTTGAAATAAAATTTGACATAGGAAATTAAAAAATTGGGGGAACATTAATTAAGAATGAAGCCTCAGAACCAGCCTGATGTTCTTATATATTTTAAATCACCATAAGCTAAAGTGGAACATATTTTATTTACTCCTCAAACTTAAGTGCAGTACAATTCTGTTTAAGTGCCTTGGCACAAAAATAATATACAAATAATTAGTAGACTAGGCCATTGATAAATGCATCATTTCTTATTTTTTCTTAATGCTATAAGAAGTGTGCAGCAGCTGAAGCCAAATGTGACAATATTTGTTCCTGTCCATCTCTATTTCCTAGAGTGTATCACTTATCTACCTACAGAGCTGTAGGTAGATTTAAAACCCCAAGTACAAATTAACAGGATGGAAGCACATGCCTAAAATAAGCATGTTCATGCAAGCTTTCAACTGTAGAAATGGAAGCTGAGCTCAGCTTTCTAGGCAGTTCTTTCTTAAATACACAGTGGGCTTATGTGCTCTTATGGAGCTGACTGAAGTTCAGACCAAAGTCAGCTGTAAGCAGCCACTGAGTTAATGTCTTGAGCTCATAGTAATAAGCTTTTTTTTTTTTTTCCTCACATTCACAAGCTCCACTCCTATTAATGTTTTTGTGTGTGATAAACTGGGAACTCAAACATATACAGCTCTCAGTCTTCCCTAGGTGTGCTGTAAGTGGGCTTGTAATATGTGAAATTAACAAAGTGCAAATGATTACCAAAAGCAAAATCTGACATCTGATTATCTTTTATCCTTAAAGGATTTTGTCTTGCTTCTTATAGCCTTTAAATTACAATTTAATACTTGGAAATACTTTTAAAACTGTACATATTAGCCTTTATGTAGAGAAAAAATTATGAACAGTTACACTTTCCCTATTAATCCATATAATTCAGCTTTAAGAAGCAGAACAGAATATATATCTGAAAAACATCTAGTTATATAAACATCTTCACCTTGTAAATTAAAGATTAAATAAAGATATTTAACAATATCCTTGCTATTCTAAAAACAAATTTAAGGTATTTAAAAAGAATTGCATTTATTCAGTAGGATTTTTCTTATGGTTGCTTTTGTCTTTTTCAATGACAGTTTTATGAAAATAAGCACTGTAACATAAAAAAAAAAAAGCTTTCTGTGTCACTCTTACATGAAGAGATTAAAAAATGAAAAAGCCTATGCTTGAGAATGAGGGAAGAAGAATAAGTGCTTACTGGCCTTCCATGAGCTCTGCAGTAAAGTTACATGGAAGGCATAATGGAACAGAACTAAGAGTTGTTGGTATTTTTTTTCCATTACTACCATTTTAGTGGAACAGTAATACAATAGATATTCTGGTTGTGCCTGTCCTACTTCTATTAAAAAATACTTTGTCTTCCCCATCTCATGGAAAAGCTATTAGATAGATGCTTAGCCCTTACTGAATAACTCCCACAAGTTGCTTTTAATAATACTTTAACAACAAAAGAAAAAAAAATCAAGTCAAAGTGCAAGCCACCTGGTTTCAGCCCTTCATAAAGTGTTAATATTTTCCCTCATTCATCTTAACTTATTTTTTAAATATAAAAGTTGAATGAGCCATTAGGAACTTAGAGTCCTCCTTTATTCCTCGCTGTACACTCATGTCAGGTAGACATCCTCTACTCAGCCCAAATGAATTTGGAGTTTTGTTTTCAAAATTATTATAGAAATATAATATTTTTAAGATGTCCTATTTCTAAATGATCAGAAGCACTAAGGAAATCTAAACTTACCCTATCGTAACAAGGATTTCTCTGAGTAAAACAGGGAGAATATTTAAAAGAAGTTTTTAAAATTATGTAAAAGTTTATTTTTCCTTTCAAGTTTTTATAAGGTATAATAACCTTACTATGATTGCACTGTAAACTGTTCCAGCAGTCTGATTTAAACAAACTTGATATTCCAAAGCCTAAGTGTTGGAGGCTAAGAAACTGAAAAAATACTGTAGAAGAGGTTATTGATTACAAGTGGAAAGAATGATAGTTGAGTTCATTCCTACAGTAATTCTAGAATTTGTCTAGGTTATTCAGGTTTTTGGGAGCAAGTTTGAACTCCTCTGAGCATAATTCACCTGAGAAGCACAGTTAGTGGAAAACTTGTATTCTCGTTACTAACTGCCAGCATTTTTAATGCTGTATGTTAACTTAGTCTTGTTTTAATCTGACCTTCTGAAATGAAGATCTGCAATAGCGTGACTTGAGCCACACAGAAAAGGACTCACAACAGAAGTTCTGTTAATTAAGCTGTGGCCAGGGACTCCAATGTCACTCTTGCTAGTAATATCTTAGCTGGAAAGAAAAAATAACCCCAACAGTAAGTATTGTTAGGGCTTGGAAAGGGGAAGCAACAACAAAATAGGAAAAGGAAGATGAAGATTTTATCTTCAGGTACCATATGCTATTAAAGTACCATTTAGAAAAAAGACAGCAAATAGGAAACTTGAAGATAGTTTTATCCACAGAAAACAATTTAAGATATATCTATAACCACAAAATTTCAGTACTTAAAATGCTGCTATTTTGCTCGCTTCTCGAACCCCACTCAAGTAAGCTCCTGTAACGGTCTGAGGAAAGTGCCTGTTCGTGGCCTGTATTAAAAAAAGACAAAGTGACTTGTTTCTAAAACTATTAAAACAGCTAGAATTTCAGTTTCTAAGATCAGTTATGTTTTCCTTAAGCATATACTGGCATTTTAAAATGGTATGGAAAACTTGAGTGAAAGAATTTAAGAGGAAAGACATGATTTTTGGCAACATCAAGATCTGCAAGCAAGTCAGTCTGTTTTACTGTCTGTACTTCAGCGAGACATGTAACTGCTGTTTCGATATAGAAGGCACCTGTGCCATCAGCAGCGTGCATTTGTTACATTACCCACAAATACAGTAACAGCAAGATAATTTGACTAAAAATACAAGTGGAGCATGTTGTCTTGTCATACTGTGTTCTTACAGTTATGCAGTTTGCTCCCAACCTCAGATATTTGGCAAGCGTCCTGTTCCCAATAATAGGAATTAAAGAGGGGTCTGTGTCAAAATCAAGAAACATCAGTGTATTTGTGTAACAGAATATTTATATGCTACCTCTAAATTAATAAGCGTTGGCTAACAAAAGACGATCTTTCATAAATAGTTCCCCAATAACCTTAAACAAAGATACTTACCTCACCAGCAAAAAAAACTTTTCCTTGTATGTCTTCAGCTATAATGTCATAAGCTTCACCGCTGCCTCCTGTTCTTACGAAGCTGTATGCCATCTGGAGCCATGGATCTTTGCTCCATCGAGTAACAAAAAACTTTACTGGGTCTGGAACCTCCTGTGTAATCAAGGTAAAGCTTATGTGCTACGCAGAAGAACTCCTGTTTGGATAGCTTTCCATAATCTTTAGAGGGTATGCAGTATTATTACAACACAGATTGGATTAAATTCCAGAATTAAATTCTAGGCTTCCTTTGGTGACTACTGGCATAATTTTATTACTAGACATGTCTGATGGCTGAAACATTACAGTTGCACTGTTTTGAATGCAACAAATCTGGATATTGTATCTAGAACTATCTAGAAAAAAAAATCCTGTTAAAATACCAGTATCAACATCACTCAGTATGTTTGTGTGTTTAACATAAGCACTTTACATCTTAGTAAGGCACAATGCTTTGCAAGTTTGCTAGCTTGTTAAATCTCAAAATATCTCCATTTTGTGGATTATTTTATTCCAATGGAGAAATAACATGTCTAAAATCAGAAAGTGAGCTAGTTTGAAAGCTAGGTTCAGGGAGAAAACAGAAAACTAAGTCCATAGTTGAGCCTTGAGAGTAATACCATCTATTCTTTGTCACACTAGAGCATGTAAATTCCACACCGTTCTACCAAAAAGAGCCTGAACAACTGTACAAGGGCTCGGTTAACTACAGCTGTGTCTTACTCTTAAGGAGTTTGTGATAAGTAGACAAAAGTACCTCTGATTGTCTCTTGCACAACATCTGATATCAAAAACAGACTATTCCGTTCAGGCAGCACCCAAAATACTAGAGTGCAAGCAATCAAAACAAGAGCTGGCCAAACAGCTACATATGGCAAGTGGCATGGACATCCCAGAATTGGTACACCCCTAGAAGCCACCTCATCTTTGCAAATCCTGCAGCATTGTGGACAGATGACTGAAATTCACAACTGCTATAAACCATGGGAACAAAGAGGAGAGAATCGTCCTTCTGGGCTAGTGCCAAAACCCAAGCCCTGTTTGTTCCCTGTACGTAAAATAGCAGGTATGTGGACTTGCGTTGCCATGATTCTAGTAACTGTAAAGCTGTCACCAAAAGTTTGTTCAGCAGGTAAAGGAAAGCTTTTGGATGCCAAAAATCTTTCCAGGATTGTTAGTCCAAGCATTCCCTGAGACCTAACTGCTCAGAGTAATTTAACTGCAAGATATTACAGTCCATTAAATAGAGTGCAAATAACATTACTGAGTAATAACCTTCTTCTTGCCCCAGATTTATCGGACTTTTCCTATTAGTGCTTATCCTGATGATGAGCTGGTGGGGAAGTAAGGGAATTTTTACTCTTTTTCTTTACAGTCAAGCTATAGGGCCCTTAACTGATCATCTTGCTTGTACCTCCACCCCCAGGTATCTCAGGAAAGGCTGTTTCTTATTAAAAGAATAACCTTCCCCCACACAGACACCTGCATCTAATTTCAGTGGCTTTTTACACTGGAGGAAAAAAAAAAAAAAAGAATTATTATGCTTAGAGCTTTTATGATGTATTAGAAGCAGGGATAACCAACAAAAAGTTTGGAAAAAAAAATGACAGTTTAGGAGTGTATTACCTTCCTGAAGTACTGATTTATTTTAATTGTCATTTCTAAAAGCACTTTGAAGGAAAGTTCATGTCTGGTGTTCTATTCAATATGTTTTTTCCTTGGGACGGATCTAAGAAATCTCAATATGTATTTTTTAGACAAGAGACCAAATGTTGTTTTTACCGTATCTCAAAGGATGCATATGTCCTCAAACACACAGAAAAAGAAAAAAATCAAACAGGGTAACTTTGGTACTTTAAACATCAGGTAACACAATCAAAAGCTTTATGTCTGTTGGCAAGTTAATTCATGGTTTTTAAGAGAAGAGGCTTCTCTTACCTGCTCCTTAAACAGCTCTCGAAGTACAGTCATACACTGCTGCAGTACTTGTTTATCATCTAAATTCTTAATGGTTGTCACAGCATCTCCAGTGACCACTGACATTAAAATGCTTTGTTTGCCCTAGAAACAAAACGTTAACATATTGCATCACTTCAAAATTACTAGTTTAGGTACCTGGAGTGCTGCATCCAGGTGTGGGGCCCCCAGCACAAGGAGGATGTGGGGCTGTTAGAGAGGGTCCAGAGGAGGGCCACAAAGATGCTCACAGGGCTGGAGCACCTCTCCTGTGAAGAAAGGCTGAGAGAGCTGGGGCTGTGCAGCCTGCAGAAGAGAAGGCTCTGGGAAGACCTCACTGCAGCTTTTCAATAAAGGGGGTTTATAAAAATGATGGTCAGCGACTTTTTGCTTGATAATTTTGTAGATAATGATAGGACAAGGGGGGGGGGGTTGGTAAAACTGAAAGAGGAAACGTGTAGATTAGAAATTAGGAGGAAGTTCTTCACTCAGAGAGTGGTGAGGCACTGGCACAGGTTGCCCAGAGCAGGTGTGGCTGCCCCATCCCTGGAGGTGCTCAAGGCCAGGCTGGATGGGGCTTTGGGCAGCCTGGGCTGGTGGGAGGTGTCCCTGCCCATGGCAGGGGGTTGGAACTGGATGGACTTTAAGGTCCCTTCCAACCCAAGCAATTCTGTGATTCAAGGCTAAGTCCTTAGCATCTGATTCTGGCCAAAGAAAGGAAAGCTCAGTTCTCCTGATGCTTCCTTTCATTTCAAGAAATTTGCTATGATTCAGTAATTTCAAAGATTAAGTAGTGACTATAGAATACCACAGGCTGTCAAATCTATTAAATTCCCCCTCTTATCTATAAGGCAATTCTTCTGTTACTAAACTTGATAGCTATCAGAATAGTGGTAACTATTAGCTGTCGATAGCACACTGAATCTCACGTACAATGAGCTCCTAAGTATTATGGAGAAAACTTCTTTACAGAAAGCCATATACAGGTATTGATATTGTAATAACAGAGTGCAACCTTCACAGGATAGTACTTTTTTTGGTTAAGTCATGAGATTACAGAATGACTTTTAACTGATGCCAAGTAATAAGCAGCACTTGTTAAAGCATGAAAAATTGTGTGTAGGGTGCCTGCTTGGAACTGTCAGGGAAGGGAAACAATGTCAATACACTGGTTTGAATCGTTTTTGAAATCAATTGATTTGGCCTTGCAGAGCTCAGTTTCATGCAAAACCTATTTGTTTTCTGCTGCTTCACACAGACATTCAGGTCACTGCAAGCCAGTAGGTATTAGTAAACTGGCATCAACTTTTTTAGGTTTAAGTAAGGAAACAAAAGTCCTAAACTGGAAGTGACTGGCAGACTTACCCATATTTGTTCATCTGCAGTTAGGTGTTACACACTTGTTTTCAGGATAGCTTTACACTAAAAACATTAAATTTACTTGTATATTATTTTGTAGACAAATCTGGGAAAATGCTGCCATTTATTACAAAGTATAAATCAACTTTTTCTTGCTAAGAAATGATTCCACTTCTTTTAAGAGTAGCAGGAAAAAAAAGGGGGAAGCTTTCAATTTTCAGTAACTATTGTACCAAGATTACAAACTGTATTTCTAAAGGGACAACATAAAATACAGATAGTGTATGATACCTCTGGATCCATGTCATAGAAGACGCTAAAAAGTCCACGTTGGCTGGAATTGGGTGGAACGTGGCCAAAAAAATCAGCTCCTTGAATTTTACTGTCCCAAAATCTATAAGGAAACTGCAAGGCGATCTAGAGAGAAAGAAATAGAGAGGGAATCGAATAATTTCATACTACAGAACTCAAAACTGTTCTAACTCTTTTGCCCTTTCCCACTCAATTAGAGGTATACAGTTCTGTAAAGGGGTCTCAAAAAAGATTGTATGGGCCTGTTCACCCAGGGGAACAAGGTGGGAAATAAAACTGAAGTCCCAGAAATTGAAAACAAAATCAAGTTCACAATTTAATTCACTATGGAAAATGCTCAAATTCGGCAGAGTTTTTACAAACTTAATGCAGAACTCAGAATTACCCACAATGGATGGAGATCATTGAATCTTGCCTTTAGATTTCCACACTGCTGTTGTCTGGTTTCTGGCATTACTTCTGTTACTATTTTGTTCTAACCACAGACCTTACGAGGGATCTTTTCACGAGCAATTGTCTTTTTGCACTGGGAAAATGTAGATCTTACACTGGTCAAATACACAGCTTTCAGTATTCATCTGAAGTAGTTCATGTATTTGTTAGGTCAAAAGGAACAGGAATAAGAAAATACTATGAGAGTTTTGGAATATCTAAGATCAATGTAAGGCTTGCATAAAAAGTTTAAGCTGTGAAGTGATTCTGCAAACACTTTCATTTAAAAAAATAGATTTGAGTTGGGAATACTATGAAATACACGGGATCCTTGCTAGGATTTTTCTCTTCCAAGCATTTTAACTATGTACACTGTGCAGGTTAAAAAAGAAATGAACGCAACTATTTCCATTGATTTTTTCTAATAGTAGAGAAATAGAGAAAAGAAGGAGCTCTGCAAAATGTTTCTTTCCATGCTTCCATTCCCTGTCCCACCCCCTCCAAAACTGCATGTAACAGATACGTCACCAAAGATTTTTGGCTAGAGAATACAAGTAAAACCAAATGTCTAGGTGAACCCTGAGAAATGCACAGCAAAAGCAACAGGGCCAAAGCAGCCAATATTTCTGTGAAAAGAAGCTGAAATATATTCCAAATTTCCTTACCTTCTCAATGACTCCTGCTCCCAAACTGTTAATAGCTTTAATTTTTTTTTCTGACAGTGGAGGATTAAACTGAATGGCATTTTTCTGAAGAAGGGCCAGTGGTACGGTCACTAATACCTGAAAGAAATAATTACAGTCACAATAGCAGCAAAAGATGAACGCTGCACTTAAGCCTAATAGCATCCTCTTAACTGTCTTGGATTTTTCGTGTAAGATGCAGCATAATACTCACCAGACGTCTCAAGATTAGTGTCTGATTTTACTGCGCGTTACATTCAGGTGAGAACAGGTCCCTCAGTTCACTCACTGGCTTTTAAGCTGCAGTCTGCTGAATTGCTTGTATCACTGGCTAACCATGCTGCTAATTTTAATACCTCCTGTAAATTATAGTCATTGACTATCAGATTAAAAGAACTGTCTTTTTGAAAGGAGGAAAGATGTGTTTTTGTTGTGTTTTGTTTTGTGTTTTTTTTTCCTTCAGAGATTCCCACCCTTTAAATTTTGTTCAGCGACATAAGTGATGACAATCCAGTTTTGATCACATTTAGGTTTCGTTTTTAAAATGCCTAAAATATAAATTATGCATCACAAAACAGATGGGGACACAGGAAATAAGACTGACTGAGAAACATGCATGGGTTGTTGAGTCCAGCATCCCAAAGGGAAAAGTTTCATGGGGTAGACTTACATGTCAAGTGGGGTAAAGCTGAGTAGGGAATGGAACCAAAAAAAAAAAAAACCATCTGCCATCCTAACTGTCACTTCAGAGACCAGATAAAAATCTATGTGATTCACATTTTTATAGTGCTAACTTTATAGACCTTAGCTCTTTAAATCAACTAGTACTCAAAACTCAAGCATGTGGAATGAAAAATATGTTCTGTGACACGCAAATACAGGTCATTGGAATATACGGGTGAGTTTTCATCTTTGAGAGAGTAGAAATTGGACTAGAGAGTCTTCTGAGGGAAAGGAAGGGGAAAAAAAAGGGAGGGGTCCTGTGGTCAATACTGCTCTTGTGTTCTCCAAAATCCATAAAATTGAAGCATATTGGTTACCTTTTGGGTTCTCCACACTGTTCCTTCTGCAGTAGTGACCTGTACTTCTTCACCAGAATAGTCAATGCTCTGTACCTATTGAAAGGCAAGTGCAAAAACATTATACTACAAAATCTATATGTGCAATATAAAGTCAGACAAGAATAGCTAATATAGCACCAGTCTGCAAACTAGTTAAGTACAAATATCCACAGAAACATTGAAAGAAAGGAAAAAAAGCTTCTATGTAGCTGAAAAAGAAAAATCATGATTCTAACATACCAGCTCATCACATTATGTTTAAGTACAGATGGTCCTCAGAGAGGCTTTCCAGAAATAGTATAAAGTGTTCCTTACTAGAGAGTTCATTACTGTTCATTACAGTATTCTTTAAAAATTCAAGTTAGTTAAAGTGATTTTTTATTACTGTATACCTTTGACACTGCATTCATCAAATACTATGATTAAATTTATATAAAATTATTAGACTGCACTCCATTTAGACTACATTTAGACTGTAGAAATACAGCTGTATTTCCAGTATCAGAGATTTAATATAAGTAGTATTACTTGATGCTAATGGCAACATCAATAATTTAATTTCTGATCAGTCAGAAACTTAACTTGTCCTCTCTTTTCTTAAAGCTAAGCTGGGATAACTGCAGCTGCAGATTTACCTGGTCGAAAAGAATATAAAAGATATGATGTGGTGTGTCAAAGTAAAGCAAGGCAAGTACTACATTAACATTTTCCACACTTACTGGGAAATTCAACCGGATGTCCAGTCCTTCTGCCAGTGTATCAATCACTGTAGAATACCCCACAGTTAGAAGAGTGTGATCTCCAGCAAACTGGGCAAAAAATTCGTTATGGTCCCACGAGCGTGCAGATACCTGTGGGCAGAACATAACTAGCTGTCGCTACTGGTGAGGTGACATGGGTACTAGCAGAAGTCACGCAGCTTAGAAGAAGCCTCCCTAATTCCCTTCACAACCTGGGGAGGGGGGAGGAAAATACAGCACAATAATATATTGCAGTGCTGACAAAAATAAATGGCTTATTTTCCTGAAAACTCTAAATGGCGTGTAAATTGCTGGATTAAGAAAAGTAATAATATGAGTTGGTCACCAGCACATAATTTATAGTTCTGCTTAGGACAGAAAAAAAAAATGGTACAGAAATTCAGGTAGATAGTAGTTAATTTATTTCAGTTTTCTCTCTCCAGCAAAGCAGCCAGATTTTACAGCCCTAAGACTTCCAATAAAAATTGAAATACTTCCTACCATGAGAGGGAAATGAGATATTAAAAGATCTCAATATATTTTTTCTCTAACTTTGCAGATTTTTCCATGATATCTTTCATTGACAATAGTGATATTTGCACTAAGCAATCACTACTTGGCAGTTAAAAACCTGAAGCAATTCTCCTCAAACTGCTATTGAAATGCCAATTCCTAACACTGCAATTGCATTTACCTCATATTTTGATTTTCAAATCAACAAGAAGATAAGTTTTAGCATCTGTCTTATTTCCCCTGGGTGCTAATGAAGTTGAAAGGCTTGACAGACCAAAATATTCTCCATTGATTGTCCTGGTATAACACTGTCTTGCAGATTTTTGTTATTTCTTATATGCTTCTCAGTTCAGATCAGATTTGTGCATCTGCACATATCAATCAGCTCTCCCACTACCAGCATAAGTTTGACCCTAAACATCTCTAACCCAAGCAACAGGATTGAGTAAATAACACACTGCAAACGTCATCATACTTTGATATTTCCTGAACCTGCTTGGTTAACTCTGAAGTCGCGAGGAAAGCCAAGTATCACATAGGCAACAGAATACCTAGGAGTGGTGAACTGGGGCCACCGTCATGGTGTTGGAACACTTCAGAAGTTAAATGCTTTTATTCTCAAGATACCTAGCAAGGTAGAGAAATACCTCAGTTTTTAAACACAACTGAGAAGCAGAAGTCACACACAACATCTGAGGCCAAGTAACCCTCTTGTGAATTCTACACCCAGAATCTCAGCAAAATGCCCTGATTCCACTGCACCAGCTACTCACAACTTCTAAAGTTAAAGAGGATATCGCTGCAAGCACCTCATGAACTCCCTTTAGATTACTTAATGAAGTGCTGGAATTTGTGTCACGATGCTTTTAAAGAACGGGTTTGGGATATAGGAATAGTTTAGGGCTAGCTGGTTCTTCCTTGGGGCCACGGATGAATCAGATATCTTGTCAATGTCACTTGCAACACTATTTTCTATAGAGCTCAACCATGTCAAAAAACAGCTGTCAAAACTCACCTGAGAGAGATTGCTGCCACAGGCATACTCCAAGTTACTGAGATGGAACTGTAGGACTTTTTCTTCCAGCTCACTGAACTGGATACCAGACTCCTGAACGAAGGCTTTATAGATCTCCTGTATTTTCTCTGTAAAAGAACGTGTTTAAAATAAGAATATATCAAGATTCATCAGAAGTCCTACTGCATTTCAGTATGCTATTCTCTGGATCACATGATTTTCAAGATTACTACTAGTTTGGACTAAGATCTTTTTCGTCTCCCCCAGAAAAAGAAAGACAAGATCCTTCTGGTGATAAAATGTAGCTTTGTTGTTTAAACATAGGTTTCCCTACTAAAATCTTTCAAAAAGGAAACATACATAACTTCAGGAAAAAAGGGAAAAAAAAAAAAGGTTTAAAAGATTTGTTTTTTAAAGGGCAACAGCATAGTCGGGATAGTCAATTGAGACAGTAGAGAAATTAATTGTTTAGTTATCAATGTACAGTTGAAGATATTTCAAGGAAAAGAGCACTTCAATATAACAGAGAATCCTTGCAAATAAATAATTTTTTTTAAGTTAAGGAGATGAGAAATTTGATCCAGAGTTCACTGAAGACCACAGGAATTATTAATTCTGCCTTACTGAGCCCACAGTGAAAAGATTTGGGATGCAATCATTTCCAAGCAAGTTTTACTTGTTGTTGAATATACTTGCATGCTGTAAGTGGGAGGCATTACCAACAGAGATGGGGACATTCTTGGCAGTAAAAGGCTTTGATCAGGCTCTTTTTTAGACAGATTAGTCATGATGAATAAAACTAATGGCTAGCTATATCCTGCTTTGGTAAGAAACAAGTCTTTTGAACTGCTATTGCCACTAGTTTTCTGTATACCAAAAAAAAAAAAAAAAAAAAAAAAGCTACATCTTGAAAACAAGATATTACATTAAAAGTAATACAGAATTCTAAAAGCCTTCAAATTAGGCCTCCTTAAAACACATGACATTTTAGACTGTGTGTATATGGTAGTCAGTCAATTTCTCTTCGTCCTCCTGAGAGTCACGTTATCACTGCTGTATTTAAGGTCAGATGTGCAGCCACACACTTTTAAAAAGGGCCAATGTAAAAGGCAATTTAATACAAAACTCTGAATTCTGATGGTTATGAGCACAGCCAACATCTTCACTTTTAAATACATCTCCCACTTACCACCAAGAGGAACATCTTGATGTTGGGTTTTATCTTTTCTCCACTCAGAGACAACATCTAGGATGGCATTGAAATGAAAGTCCATACGTTTATCAATAGTGGGATCTGTTATCCTTCCACCTTCCTGGATCAAGTCACATTTCTCCCCTAGTTTGTGCATTTTAATGCCAAGCTTAAGAAAAAGACATTTTATTGCTTTTTAAATATGGAAAATCTACAGTGCCTAGCCTGCTCACAGTTATTTAAAGAAAGGTGAATCCCTCAGATTTAAGTGATGTCACTTAAAAAACATCCATGAGTTTAAATAATTAGTCAGATTAACTCAGACTCTCATCCTTGTAGCACTGAAATAGCAACAGCCCTTCTATCCCTTAATTGTCAACAAACCATGTTTCCCCACTCCTCCATCCTTTTCTATATCGTGGATTCTCTGAAACCTAGTCTCCAACTTCCCTATCAAGTCAGGGGCTAGAACAGAGTTGTTGGGTCTGTACTCAGTCACGATGAACCAGTTTCCTTCATTTTTACCTTGCCTTATCTTCTTTTTGCCATTGAAATCAGTTCTTTTCCACAGCTTTCTGGTAACTTATCCCCCAACAGTTCCCTACGAGTCAGGAATCAACAGAATGCATCTCGCCAGATATTGCCCATTTCGTTAGCAAACAAGCAAAGAAATGATTTTGAATTAAACCTAGTATCTTGCCCTGCTTGTCCAGCTTGTATCAAACACCCAACAGACCTAAGTCAGAGAACAGACTGTATGTTCCACAGTCGGTCTAGAGAAAATAGCACTAGAATAGCTCTAATTTCTTCCTAGGGCCTTGTTAACTTAAACTGCACCCCAGGGTTTTTTTGCATACCCTCACATATCTCCAAGGCTATTGCTCACCGCTGCAGATCAAGATAGAGCTGGACTTTGAATCAAAGATGACATCAAAGACCACATGGGAATGGGCACCCAACGTGTATTCAGAAGTCATCACTCCTCACCTCATAACTAAAACGTGACTTAGAACCAAAAAATACATTTTTGTTCTTCATGACACCATAGAGCACTACACTGTTAGAACAACACGGGCTGGATGTGCATGCCTCCCTGAACAAACTCCAAACTCAAGTTCCACTTAGTAAGCGTTATTTGATCAGAATCAAACTAGAAATAGAGGCCAAGGCAAGGCAAGTCTATCATGGACACAGGTATTACAGCAGCACAGCAACAGCCTCCCTCAGTAAAGCCCTTCTCAGCTCCGAGGATTTGCCTGTACTAGAATCAGCAGGCTGCCAGGAGCCTTTTTACATTTTTATCTCCAGAAAAGGGCAAAAATGTGGTTACTTCTGGTTCTAAAGCTGAAGCCACCCTAGCTAGCTTTACATAAGGTGCTCGAGATCGTTCCACAGCCCTTGTCTGTCCCCAGCTGTTACCAAAGATAGGATAACAACGTGGAGTTTACTTAAAATGCAGAAGAGCATTTTAATCATGTCATGAAAAAGGACTCCCACCCCTACCCACCCACCCACGCCTGACTTTTAACAACACTTTTGCACTAACGATAATGCATGACCACGGTAGGGAACCCACTTGCTCACACATTAGTGCCATTGGGTTGTTGACACATCCATTGACGATTTGGGCGCCTCTTCCAACGGTGACTCCCGTGAACGTCTTATCATCCCACACTCGGCCACCAATTCTGTCTTTAGCTTCTAAGACAATGACCTGTGACAGAATGCAGTTCAGGAAATTGCGAGGCATGATTATAATAAACATATCTGCTCAACTCAAGGGGGAAAACAAAGCAAAACCGGACAAGCAAACTAAAAGCAATCCATCGACACTAACAATCTTAACACTATTTTTGTTTCTTGATATAGATCATTTATGCATTTAAATTTTAATTTAAAGGTTATTCTTTAGGATATATATACATGTAAAATATATGATACTTTAAGAAGCAACCCTAGTTAAAAAAAATATATATATTTTTTTTTAAAAGTTAAAGACCTATTCAAAAAATCTAAGAATTGGGAGTTCAAGGTGTGCTAGAGACTTAAATACAATTATCCGATTACAGTTTCCACCTTAGGTCCTCTATAAACCTTTTGGAGAAGTTTATTCCTGTGGTATTCCGAGAATACTTTATGGTCATATTTCTATCATTTACACATACTTTCTTCAGCATCCACCACTTAATCATAGTCAGACAGAGGATACTGGACTGGATGGATATTTTATCTGACTGAATATGTTTATATTATTTACTTTTATTATATTTTTATCTTTAGATAAGTCTTTTTAAAAATAATAATAATAATAAAAAAAAAACTCAATCTCTCCAGAACAGCAGACAGCAATAGGAAAAAAAAAAAGACAATGTAAAAAATAATTACAATCAATATATTTCATATATTTAAAAAAAATGTCCTGCCAGTTGATAACTACATATTTTACTGCAGGAGGGCTTTCCACAGGACTCAATGGGCAATAAGGCTGCACTGCAATTTGCTCTTCAATAACCAATGAATGAGATAGTGGCACAATAGGATCTAGGGTTTCACTTAAAAAAAAAAAAATAAGGAAAGTAACGTGCTCATTCAGTTCCTTAAACATCAGTCTTACAAACATTTCATGTGCAAAGAGCCCCACAAATTTTCATAAGAACACTCTAATGTGTAAAATTATGTCAACATGTAAATATTGTGGGATCACACTGGTAATGACAAGTAGGAGGGAAAAGGGAGATGCACATTTTTAAATTAAAAAACAAATAGGTACATTAAATTGCACAAAGGAGAGAAAATGTCCTCTCTTTTAAACATCCATCATCAACGGTTTTATTATTTGGACATGAATATCCCTGTCTTCCCTGTCCTCCCAACCCAAGTCTGTGCAAAATATTCAGTACTTGCTTTGCTGGATTTTAGATAAAAGTAAATGCTGTCTTTAACAGCAGCTTTACTCAGTAAAATTCCAGATTTCACAAATTAATTAGAATTCCCTATACTTAGATGTTTATAACAAGAATATTGTTAGGCTATAATATTTTCAAACATTTTCAAAGCAGAAGTCTGATTTTTTCAAGTAATGTACTCTCCACTTTCTTACCTTAATTCCAAAGTTGTGCAGTTGTCGGGCTGCTGCTAATCCTGCTGCACCAGCCCCAACAATAATGACAGATTTCTAAAAAATAGTAAAATATTTAAATAAATATTAATAGTCAGAGCTAAAATAGAAGTGATCATTGCACACAATTCTTGCTAAATTTTAAATACGCACAGATTTCAGAATTTTAAGTGGTCTTGTCCTCTAATATAATCAGAGATCACTTTTAGAAATGATATTGCATTTAATATATAGAAAAGGCCAATTGTAGCTTTGAAAAAAAGTTAAAGTTTTTAGGCACTTTAAATTCAGATGTCTCGATTTCTTATAACTGGAACAGCTGAAGTTATCTAACAAGCTTTGTAACTATTTTAATCACAAATTGGGTTGACCAATAAAAACTATTTTATAAATTGTGACCACATAGAAATATGCTTTCCATATGTAAATCAATTTACTATTTCTAGGAGGTATTCCGTTACAGAACATGGTCATTCTACAAGTTTCTACAGATTGCTACTCGTAAGGATGTACCCTTTAATCATAGCTCTTGCAACCAGAGAAGGAAATTCCTGTTATATTCTATGGAATATAATATGGAAGCTGTGGTGTGCTACAGCATTAAGCCATAAGAAGAACCGAGGCATATTGAATGTTGTTCCCACAGTTCCCATCCATCTAAAAAGCACAAATCCACAGGACTGGACTTCACAGATGTCTGGGTGAATACAAACCTTGCTGGCAAACTCCAGTGTCTGTAATTTCGGTAATCGTGGAAGGCAGATGAGGAAGGACCATGTGAAAAACATGCAATATGTTTGCTTTTAGATGCAATTCTGACTTAAATGACAAATAATGAGGAAATAGAAACAGAAAAAAAAAAAAAGTATCCCACAGTTTTATAGCATTAATAACACAGGGATTTTTACAGCTACTTACATTGTGGTATTCTTTAGGAAGAAGATACTGGTCAGGACTGACTGATAAAATCCCTGTATTAATTAGTCCCTTCCTTGTCATAAAATAAAGTATCCTTTCCATTTCCTGTACACAGCGAATACGCACAAGCCCCCGTACAATGATATGATGGATACATTTTTGAGGGGTGAGAGCCTCCTGTAAAGGAAAAACAAAAGACACAAAAAAAAGGAAATGTTGATAGTCAAATATATTCAATATTTTCACATTTGCAGTGTATTTAAACTGTAGACCAGATGTTAAGGTTAATCATGACTCAGAGAGGTTTCTGAGAGCATTTTCAAAGCAAGTTTTATGGAAGTTTCTTGCTAGCCAGCTGTACAGATGAAGGTAACAATTTCTCTCTTCCAACTTTCCTGTAGATAGAAAGTTAGACTGACACAGAATAAAAGCATGAGTCTAAAAGAAACTCCTGCAAACTCCACAGTATGCTCTATTAATACAGCAGTGGCCTTGAAATCCATCACAGACTGCAAAATCAATCTACCTGGTGGCAATGGTCAGTGGCATTCACAATCCACACCAAATAGCATTCCAAATAAATATATATATATATATATCACTATCCAACAGCTTCATATTAATCAAGGTATCAGTATCTGAAAGCTTCAGTATGTGAAATTCTAGCTGGCTCTTGAGTTCATTTATATTGAATATGACAGAGGAAACTCCACTGAAGTAGTTTTGTAGCATTAACATAAATGAAAAGAATCATGCCCTTGTCCAATATTCATACAAAAAATATCATAAAGCACCTCCAAAACATTAAGAAATGTCCAAGTGTCCCTTTAAAAGCTAATAGCTGGGCAGACTCAAAAGTTTTAATGCTTATAAAATTTTTGTGTGTGCTGCAAAATAAGCTCCTAGGCATTAAAACTGGAGGGGAAAATAAAAAAAGGAAAAAGAAAAAGTCTTAGGTTTTCCTTTCTAGGACAGGAACATTTTTTCTAGTATACAGGATATATCTAAGAAGAGAGTATAATTGCTTTGCCCTCTTCCCCTCAAAATCTCCACATCCCGTAGCAGTAGCCATTATTTGTAAGCAAATAAATTAACTTTTAGCACATCTTACCTTGCAGTTTGTGTACCACAGAGCCAAAATTAGGTTTCTCAAGGCCAAATACATGGTTGGGTCTCGTGAATATTCTGGGAACTCATAGAGCTCATCCAGTTCCATGACATCCGGCCTCACACAAAGTGCTTTCCCACATTCATTGGGCTGGTAAAAAGGCTGGAAATATTTGTTCATTCCTGCAACTGAATAAAGACACATGGAGAAAAAAGAAAGAAAAAAAAATGTCATATTCCATTGTATTTTTTTATCCTTTTCCCTTTACGAGCAGCGAAGCATCCCAACCTCCAGCCACTTTTTGAATGATTTCATTCGTATCACTCTCCCCTCTTACCCTCTGGGCTGTGTGGTGCTAATTATTGTCCTGGTACCTGATGTGTCTTGGACCTGTCAGAGCTTAAGTTTTGCTAGAGAGAAACACTGTGTGCCCTCAGATGCCATGACAGGTCCAACATGGAACAGCATCTGAATTCAATTCCAAGGTCTAGCACCACTGTACCCCTGAACCACTTTCATCTTCAGCTCCCAACACCACCCAGGGTGAAAAGTAACTACAAGTAATCCTCCTCCATGTGAAGCAATGGTAGCTCTGCGTAATGAAGTTGGTTTTCTGTTTGTTAAGCAGATAAGCATCCATTCAATAGAGGAGTGGATTTATTTTCAGCACCTAAGGAAAGCAAAGCCTGCTAGGATGAGACAGAAACTGAACTTTCCTCAAAGCACTCCCTCTGAGCTAGCATTGAAGTGCATCATACGGATGAGTATGGGAATTCTGCATTACCTTTTTCCATACTGGGCCTATTTTGCAGATCAGCACACCCAGGCTATCAGTCTCACAGAGATGTTATTAGCAAAAAAGTTAACCTAAGCTGAATCCAAGTGCCTTAAGAAACCCAATCCTTTTCTCCAAACCCCAAAGATTGCCACTATCAAAACTAGCAGAATCACATTTTGTTTTTATAAATCTTTGTTTCCTTAAGAAAGCAAATGATTGCTAAGTACCCACATACTAATTTCCCATTTGTATTAAAAAAAATAACAGGTAGTAATCCAAAAGCCTACGAGATCTGATTACACCTTAAATAAACGCCATGAGAAATGTGTTACCTTTATCTTACACGCGAATAAATTGCAACAAAGAAGTACAGAGGCAGTCACACAGAGAGGGTGTATTAGTGCTGAGAACAGAACCAGTGTTGCTGAGTCAGGAGCACTGTGTGCCTTATAAACTCGGTTATAAGACAAAATTCATCACACCTATTTAAGCAACAGAGCCCTGCAGATGGCTCTTACCAGTCAAATTAGGCACGCTCTTTAGGTGCTCTAACTTCACAAGGTTGGATTCACCAGGTAAACGATTAGTGCTGGTACAGGATGGACTCATGCCCACGCAGTCTGGATAATATGCAGCTAGAAAGGGAGCTGCCACACTGTCTTTCAGCAAAGGAGGGAGTATGAGCATGGAGTACCACCAATGGTCTGAAACTTCAGCCACTCTCTGGCCAAGCGGAGAAGTGAAGGAAAGAGGGGAGAAGAGAACACGTCAGTACTTTGAAAACGTTGGAAAATGAACCAATTCCCCCCTCCCTCCAAAACTGAGACCAAAAAGCACTAGAAGTACCAATCTCAGAATGGCAAGTCAAAAAGACATTTTCTCTCCCTCTTTCCCCTTCCTCAGCCTGACACAGAAAACCTGCAGTCTGAACATCTTCCTCAGAAACAGAGCTGAACCTTCACAAACTCCACGCCCATGTGGAAAGCAAACAGATGAGACGTACCGTGATGATAACCTAATCAGGCCCTTGAGAAAACATTTACAGTCGCTTATGCATCCAGAAATCTGAACTTAGAAAAGTCTAAACTGTTCAATTTTATTTAGATTCTGCTATCCCCATCCAAGACCTTCTGAAACCCTAACAAATGCTAACGATTCAGCCTTGTTTACAAAGCAAACATGCATTAAGGAAACAAAACCACCAAGCTCCTCCAAGAGTCAACAATAATCTTGGACAGGTGTCCTGAGAAAGAGGTACCTCAGAGACACTTGCCAACGACAGCTTATTGAACATCAGATCATCCTCAATCTGAAATGCGGGGTTACATGGTCATAAAGTCATTGCAACACCAACATACATCAGGTTTTGTGTGGTGGGCGAGAGGAGAGAGAAAACATGTTTTGGTGTTCTTTTGCAGCTTTCAAAAAGAGGAGACTAGTCTGACTAAAGATAGAAACCACCTGGAAGATAGGGAAATTTGGGGGGTGGGGATTATTTGTTTGAAAGCTGGTGACTGAATGCTGTTGTTTTGCCTGATCAAAAGAGAGGATTAGGAGAAAACTTTGAACCACTGATCACAACCCAAAGACACAGAGAACCACCTGAAATCTAGCTGGTAGCGAGGGAAGAGAGGAAAAAGATGAGAAAGTAGAAAGCCCGAGGCTCTGTTGCAAATAGTGTCCGACAGTTTCCTGAGCAAAATGCATAAATGCTACTAAAATTGGCCAAAGGACAAAGAAAAGGAAAGACATATGCCATGCTTTAGGGTTGGTTTTATATTCTAGAACAAACGAGGAGGAACAACCACTACTCACCAAGTCCTCAGGCATGGAACACTGGTCTGAGCCCTCCGTCTGAAAGAAAAGTCAATTGAGTCAGAGCTATTCTTAGGCCGTGGGACAAAAATTAAATATAAAACAAAGCAATTTGGCTGTGGCATAGTTCCTTAAGCATAAAAACCAAACCAAAGAATTAATTAGTGTTAGCTTTCTGTAGCACAGGCGTTTGTATTAGTAAAAATAAATACTAGAGAAATGCATAGTTAAAAACACAACACACCATGAAACCAAAACACCCTAGAAAATGTTTCTCATTTGTTAAATAAAATAGTCTCTACTGACCAGACATTAAGATATAGGTCTTATTCCATGAAATGGAGTGGAACATTGAAACAAATAAATTCGGGGGGAAGGGGAGGAATTTATAGAGAAATTCTGGGAAGATTCCACATTTTGCAGAGAGAAAATCTTCCAGTGTAGACTATAAAAACAAAGTTCTCTCATTTATTTTAAGAATATCACAAAGTTCCAAGATGAAATGCCAATCCTTTCATGTTGTCAGTGTTTTCATGTTATGTTTTTAGCTATAACAATTCTATGGCACTGTAAGGACTCTCAAATTTCAGGAGTTACCTTCAGGCCAAAGCTGAATATTCTCCATTTAAAGCCCCACGACAAACTTGCTAAAAATTAATAAAAGCTCATTGAGCTTTTCAAATGTTTTCCTCAATAGTAAAGTATGGCCAAACAAAACAAAACAAAACACATATTTTCGTGTATGTCTATTTTATACATGCTGATAGTCTTTTAGTAGCTTTAGAATGAGTGATTTTACAGTTGACTGCAGACAGAAAGTATTTCAGATGCTTCTTTCTTGATATTTTCTCTCAGGAAACAAAAAAAAAGCCAAACAGCTTGTAGGCTTTTAAGCTATGCGGCTCTCCAGGCCATCGGACACTTGTTTCGAAATTAGAAACATTAAGCAGCAAAACAAGAAGTAATTTATGTCTGCAAACAAGAAAAATGTACTTGTTAGTTTCAGAATGAGCAAAAGTCTTCTATGCTACCTTGGTGGAATTGTTTAGTTTCATACCACATCTGTATGTTTTTGCTATCTGTGGTGTCAGCTGGATTTCCTTTGTCAGCTGACGCCATTTACCACATTCTGGCTTCGTGCACTGCACCTACAAGTCGAAAAACAAACATGTTTTCACTCGTTACTGACTGATTACAGATAAGGTTAATGAAGCATAACTAGCTGATCAGAAAGAAGGTAGACATGAGGAAATTGTTAAACACAATTGTTAAATTCATTCTCCTGTAATGCTCAGGACATCAGTAAGATGTTTGGTATATGTAAACATAAATCTTGGGTCAATCTCCTATAAGACTTTATTTCACTACAGAACCTAACTCCAAAATTGATTCAATACCCAGTTACACTACTGTCTTCAGTGAGCTTTCCAGGTGTTGCTGCAAAAACAGATCATTCACTACTTCAAAAATAATAATTTAAAAAAAAAAATTCCTTCTATTCCCATATCTCCTCTTCTCCCTTTACCAGGGAAATTATCTTGAGCTTCTCCCAAGCCCTCTGATACTAGAAAGCCCATCTGAAAACTCATCTGACCTACTGCTTGATCATACAATATCAGAAAATCTTTCAGTGCAAGAAATGAGGAGAAGATAGAAAAGAAGGGGCAAGGGGAGCTCATTTAAGCATCAGAACAAAACCGCGTACCTTCTCAGGCTACCATCACACTGAAATACACCCTCTTATGTAAATCACTCTCTGTCTTACCCAGTAAGGAAGCTGTTGATCAGCCATGAAGGCTTTTGGACTGGGCTCGCTTTTACCATTACTTGTCCAAATCCTTTTCCAGGCGGTATATTTCTCATAACCATCTTTATGGCTAAGAAGAAAGAGAAAATAAAACAGCAAGCAGTTGGAAAACTGAATGATCTATTTCATTGTAGGCAACAGTGGTTATTCTAAAATTAAACATTTTATATAAGGACAGAGGAATAAGGCTGCAGAGCTCTATATTTTCCTATTAAATACAGAGGAAGTCATGGCTCTTGTGATAGCAATAAAGAGCATCCTGACCGCTATGTCCTCTTGATAATGAGCAGACTTCCTGGAATCTGAAGTCTGAAGAGAGTTACAGGTACTGCTGAGCACACAAGTACCCGAGAGCCTCAGTAGAGATGGACTCGACTCCCACACAAATGGAAAGGAGCTTGGAGCCTGAAGTGCTCTCTGAGACTCCAGACACTGAACTGCAAGCGCGAAAACCACTCGCTGATTGTGGTCGTACACAGAGGCGAGTTCTCCTGAATTCACATTGTGGAGTGAATCTGCTAACTAAGAGAAAATGGACGTACTTAAAGCTATTCTCATCTTTTAAAATTCTCTGCTGTCATTTTAAAAAGGAGGAAAGGTTCAGAATAACTGTCCCTACAAAACACCTTGACCAAAATAACTGGTTTTGTTCCTGCTACATAATCATGTAGATGATTAGTCCATACAACACCTGCAGTTTTACCACCAACAGCTAAGTGTAACTTCCGATCAAGCAAGCACAGAAGACAAGACTTAGTATTATACATATGTATATTAGGTTTCAGCACTTGCATCATCTGTCAAAATTTAGTAAGAACTGAAAAGGCACAACCTTAATTGGCCAGTCTACCTTCGGTAATAGTGGTCAAAGCATTCATTGCAGAAGTGTTCCCCACAGGAAAGATGATACCATCTCGATGTATAACCATTTTTAGCACATCTGTAAAACAAGAGACATAGAAATAGCTTTATGAAACATTTCAGAAAAAAAAAAAAAATCTCTTGACAATAGCACATTCTAGAATGTGAACAATATCTTCAGGACAAGCCAGGCCATTATGTTCCATTCATGAAGGCTGACTTGCACGAGGCACTACAGCCACACTAATAACAATAACGAGAAGATCATTTCAATTGTCTCAGACATTTCCAGTTTCCGAACTAAGCAGCACCAGATGCAAAGGAGGCAAAGCATACACAATACGCAGTTTTACAGTTGGTCTGGCTTCCAGCAACTTCCCTTCAACAATGGTCCACTGAGCCTTTCTTTAGTAGCCTTTAAGCAGATGGTTCCTGGACACGAAATAGAGTTGCTTTTACACTATGTACTGCAACACACAAAGCATTTTCCAAGTGTCCCTCTCTGTAGGAACTTACCCTTCTTTTACCATTTTTTTTTATTTCATTCTGATATTAGTGCAGGGGTGAGAGGAAGTCATTTCAATGAGTGTTTTTCGTGTATGGGTAATCGATC